GGGGCTATACAAGTGTCCAACGCCACAAGGCTGTGCCACAAATGGGACTCCGACCCAGGCCCCCCGGCTCCAAAACCTCGCTCTTTCCAGACCAATCCCCCCCCTCCCCTCCCCAGCTCCATCAGAGGGACAGAGGAAGGCTGCACTGTGTGTGTTCCGGGGACCAAGTTGGGGAGTGAAAATACATCTGTAGAGCCCCAGTGAACCCCAAATTGAATGAGCCAGACAGTGGGGGGTTCATAACCTTGGGTCCATTCCTGCCTGTTCACACCCGGATTCCTGACTGCTCCGGGTGCCTGGACCCCTCTCTGGCCACTTCTTCTGGGTGGCCCTTCCACTCGGTTTCCACCATGTCTCTGAGACCTAGAGGTCTGCCCTGACCCTAGCTCTGTGGCCGGGTCCTCCATGCCTGTCAGGCAGACCCCAGTCCCACCCTCCTGCTACTCCAACGTCCTCAGTCCTGGTTCCCCAGAGATTAACCTCTGCCCCCCGGGACCTGCCTGCAGCTGCCCTCACTCTGGGCCCCGAGAACCCCGGCTCGGGTTCCCCTCATGGGCCCTTGCACAGCCTGCTTTATTTATTTATCCAGCTAATTCACATTAATAATACAGTCAGCACACGCAGCCCGAGTTTAACCAGAACGTCCCTCGGCCACTTCTCCCCTCCCCCACCCAAGGTGACACGCCTCCTTTGTGTGCAGTTGGATTGCAACTCTATGGAGTCGTTAGAGATGTATTTTTTTTTTTTAATTGTAGCTGCTTTTCACTCTGTAAAAAGAGTGCCATGCCGTACACAGTATGCAGGAACTTGTTTTTCCATCCATGGGACTGTTGTATCGCAGAGACACGTTTGTTTCTCTGCGTGTCACTGTGGACCGTTCGTGTTGCCTGCCAGGTAATATTCTGCCATCATTCATGTCCTCGCCTGCCGATGGGCATCTGGGCCGTGGCCAGGGTTTTGTTACTGAGAACAGGCTGTTATGTATCCTCTTGTCCGTGTCTCCCATTACACATCTGTAAAGGGTGGATGCCGCCGAGGGGAACAGCTGAGTCACGGGGCTTCTGCCACAAGCCCCACCTGCCTTCAGGCCGCCCCACCATAGAGACGGCTCAGCATGGTGGGCCCCAGGCAGTAACTGCTTTTAACCTACCTGAGCTTCAGTTTTCCTGTCTGTCAAATGGGAATAATTATACTACACACTGATTCGGTTCGCACAGATTATAGACCCTGTACCAAGCTCCGTGCTAGGCAGAGGAGAGAGAGGCAGCCCCGTCTCCCAGGAGCAGGTGGCTCGTGTGTGCAAAGACAAACCTGGAAATGCATAATCTCAGGACTGTGACGGATATTATCGTTGCTGGGGACCGATGGGCCCGTGGGTGTGCACACTCACTGGGATGGGGGACTTTGGCCTGCCTCCCGAAGTTGGGCTGGGGACCAAAAAGAATGGGGGGCCCCCAGAATCGGTGGTCCTTTTGTGCTAAGAGCCAACACGCAGAAGGTGTGCTCCGGTCTGCAAGGACAGAGCACTCCCTGCAGGGAACCTGGGCGCCAGGGGCTTTCTCCAGATCTTCTGGTTTCTTCTGCCGTGCCCACCACCTTTCTCGGTCCTGCCTCTGCACATCCCCCTAGAATTGGCCAAATGCCATCACCCCACACTGTCTGATTTGATTCTCCCGGTCGCTCATGACACAAGCAGATTTTATTTTCCATCTTACAGCAGAAGAGACCCCTGTTCAGGATTGCCCTTCAAATTGCAGAACCAATTAAGGGCTTTTTTTCTCTAACTAAAACTTGAAGGGGCAGCTTCTCATTGTTAAAGACAGCAGAAATGAAATGTAAATAACACAAGAGACCTCTTGAAGACCCAGGAGAAACATGAAAAAACCGCGGCGGGTTAAGAGAACAAAGCCTGGCACACACCATCCGCCCGGTTTTTCCTTTGAGAAGAAAAGTGCCGTGAATGGTGGCCCCGAAGCGCCTCTGTCATCAGCTGTACATTTAAAGGGCTCCCATAAGCCACCGCAGAGAAAGCTCAGCTGGGCAGGAGAGGCAGGTTAGACCACCTGGCCCTTCCACCTCCTCCCTGGGACAGGCTGCAGACGACGTGGCCAAACCTCCCACATTCCAGACCGAGTGCGCCACGCTTTGCCAGAAGCACCCCTGGCTTTCTGGGCTGGTGCCTGATTCCAGGTGGGCCAGTAGAGGAGGTTTGTAAACAGGTGCCAACGGGTCCAGGAAGCCTGTCCTGAGGCCTGTTTGCGGAGCCTCTGGTTTGGGTGGGCAGGTCACATGGGTAAAGTGAAGGCTCTGGGCTCGTTTCAGAGCCAGGCTCTCATTGCAAAGGTCTGGGCTTGTTCCGTGGTGAGCCGGCAGGTGACCTTGGCAGGGTCTGGCCGACACAGGGCATCGTGACCCTGCGGGAATCGGGATATTCTGTGGGTCAGGCCCACAGAGCCAGCTCCCACCTCCTTCTGGCCTGGTCCTGCATAGGATTTCCCATGCAGGCAACCTTTGCTGAGCCCTGGCCATGCGGGGGTCTTTGTGTCATCATGCTCCTAAGTGCCATGAGGGCAGCTAGAAGGCAAATAGTCCCCCGCCCACCCCCTGCTTTGGGTTTCCTAACAGCACTTAGCCCCACACCGGGTAACTTCTGGGTTTTGATCCTCTCTCCAGCTCTTTGTAGACAGAGTATGGAGAGGCCACAAACACCCGGGGCCCAGCATTTGGGCTGTGGACCCAGCCATGACTCGTTAGAGAGGGCAGAGCTGGGACCAGAGACCACAGCCTCTCCCAAAGGAGGGGTAAGTCAAGGCAGCGCAACATGAGGGTAGCAGGGTCTGTTCTGATCAGAGCCCCTCTGGCTTGGAAGGTGGGTGTATGGCACAGTCCACCCCTTTGCTCAGCTGTCACTGAGTGTTGATTCTGTGGCCAGCCAGTGTTAGGTACTAGATGTACGTACAGAGAATCTACTGTCCTTGTGTCTACGAGCTGTGGTCTACTGAGGGAAGCAGACCTTTAAGTATTGTTTGTAATAGATCATGGGACACACTCAGGATCGTCACGTGCAGTTGCATGAGTTGTACACTGCCCAAGTCCAAGGGGGTCCTTCACATAGACTGTGAGATGAATGAACTCCCCCCAGAGTTGTGATGGACCACCCACCCAGCTGTCCACAGCGGCCTGAAAGTCCTCTCATAGAGGTGGCATTAGGTGTCGAGGGAGGACCACCCATGGTAGGAGATGTTGGAAATGGGTCCTGAAGGATGAGGAGGAAGTCTCCGGCCAAAAAGGGAGAAGGATATGCTGGGTGGTGGGAATGTTTGTCAACTTTCGCAGGCATGGTGGGGGCACCGGGAGTGGAAAAGGGAGCGAGGCCATTCACGGTTGGGGGAGTGGTGGAGAGAGGAGAAAACAGATCTCAGGGTGACTCGGGAGGTGAGACCGGGTGGGAATTACAGACACGGGGGCATGGGCAAGAGTCTGGGGCTGGCTCCCAAGAGCCACAGCGGCAGGTCCACTGCTCTGCCCTCCCTGAGGCCTGCCCGTGCCAAGGTGCACATTCCGAGGGGGGTGTCCAGCAGCTGGCCGGGCCACAGTGGCTCAACCCTGGGAGACGGGTCACTTCAACAACATGTTTATACTCCATTTACACACAGGCCGATGTTGCCTCTGCTGGTGTTTATGCCCTTGGAATAACTTGTGTGGTCTATTTTGGGAGCGTCCCTCATGGCCAAAGGCACACGAAGCAAATGCCATGACTGTTGGCTTTCAAAGGGCTCTCTAGGACAGCTGGGTGCCCCCCCCCCCGTGAGTACCTGTGCACAGCGATCCGGTGACTGGGGGCTTCTGAGGCTCTTTCTGAGCACGTGGGGGGTCCCTAGGAAGGGGCTAGGCCTGACCGGCACTTGCTGTTGTCCATAAAGCAATTATAGATTTCATTTGTCCAGGCAATAGATGCAGATTGGATATGGGACAGAGACGTAATTTGAAAACCAAAGAGCCAGAGGGAAATTGAGGAGTGTGTGCTGTTGGTGGAGCAGGATGCTGCCTTCTTCCCCTGGGGGTAGGGAACACCACCCCCCCCACCCCCCCACCCCCACCACCCCCCGCTCTGAGGACTCTAGCGCAGGCGTTTTCTTTTTTTTTTGAGACAGAGTCTCACTTTGTTGCCCAGGCTAGAGTGAGTGCTAGCTCACAGCAACCTCAATCTCCTGGGCTCAAGCAATCCTGCTGCCTCAGCCTCCGAGTAGCTGGGACTACAGGCATGTGCCACTATGCCCAGCTGATTTTTTTCTATATATATTAGTTGGCCAATTAATTTCTTTTTATTTATAGTAGAGACGGGGCCTCGCTCTTGTTCAGGCTGGTTTCAAACTCCTGACCTCAAGCAATCCGCCCGCCTCGGCCTCGCGTGAGCCACCGTGCCCAGCCTAGCACAGGCATTTTCTTGAAGGTTGTCTTGGCTGGGCACAGTGGCTCATGCCTGTAATCCCAGCACTTTGGGAGGCCAAAACGCGAGCATTGCTTGAGGCCAGGAGTTAAAGACCAGCCTGACAACAGAGCAAGACCCTGTCTCTCCAAAAAATAAGAAAAATTACCCAGCGTGGTGGTGCATGCCTGTAATTGTAGCTACTGCGGAGGCTGAGGTGGAGGATCACTTGAGCCCAGGCGTTCAAGGTTGCAGTGAGCTATGATCTTCTCTCTAAGAAAAGGTGTAACTTAAGATTCTTGTGCCCCGCAGGGTCTTAGGTGGCTCAGGGCTCCCCAAAGATTGGGAGGTACAGAGGGTTTGATCAGCATCTCTGTGCCTCTCCGCGACCTCTTGAGTCAGAACTGGGGGGACACATCAGGGGAGACAAGCAGCCTAGCTGAGGTCACCTGGCAGCCTGGGGTCAGAGCTCTGGGTAAACTGAGTCTGTCTCCCACTGAGTCACAGTGGGCAGCTGCCCCAGGGACCTGCCGGGACTAACGAGATACCCTGTGTCTGTCTGTCCACCCAGGTGCAAGTTCTTCAGTCTGACTGAGACACCAGAGGATTACACCATCATCGTCGATGAGGAGGGATTCCTAGGTAAGTGCTTCTCCCCTCTGGGGCTCAGCTGGACCCCCAAAGTCAGGGCTGGCCTGGCCCCCGCCTCCTTATTTCTGCCCCCACCTGCTTTTCAGCTAGAAAGTCCAGCAAAGAGTCTCTTTCCCTCTGTCCCTGTGTTCTGGCGGGTCCCCGCCCCGCCTGCTCTCGAGACTACCCTAGGAGAGATTCTAGCGCTGCAGGGCAGGGAGTTAGGCGCCGCATCCCCAGCTGAGAAATACAGCAACCCAGGAGGAAAAGTGTCATTGAGCACGTCCCATGAGCAACGTGCTTTAAATGTCCTCTGCCCTCATTCCCGTTTGGGACAGCCTTAATCACGATCCTTTTCTTATTTTCATTTACTTTTTCTCCAGTTTTTGAATTGAAATATAATTCACATACCATAAAATGTCACCATTTTAAAGGACACAGTTGGGCAGTTTTTGATTTCCGCAAGGTTGTGCAACCATCACCATCTACCTGATTCCAGAACATTCTCATCACCCCCAAGAAGAAACCCTATACCTATTAGCGGTCACTCACCGTTTCCCCCATGCCCACCACACATCCTTTGAGTTTTGTTAGTGAAGATTATTATGTTTGTTCTGCTCTAACATTTGTGGAGGGCCTTCTAGGCTGCCAGCACCGTGCTGGCCGACACATTAACATACAAGGAGGTGTCACCTTCCCCTGGTTATGGGGTGGACGGGGCCAGCACTCGCCCAGGCCCACAAGCAGTGGAGCCAACTCCCCCTAAAGCCGCCACTCCCTGTAAACCCCACTAAGTTACTTTCTTCAAAACTTACAGAGGCTGCAACCAGTTAGACATTCTTTAAAACCACAGTTCCACCCGGAGACAGCTACTAGTAACTTTTTAGCCTTTTTCCTTCCAACTATTTTCTGTGCACGTGTTGCTACTTTTTCATTTACTTATGATCATATTATGTACAGAAATGTTTTCACTTAACATTACAGCTTAAAGCATCATGTGTTGTTACAGATTGTAACTGATGGTGCACGTAGTGGTAGACTTCACCCAGTCCCCTACAGTTAGAATTGAGGTTGTTTTAATTATTCTTCATTGATAAGCTTATAAACTCCTTGAATGTGTCAAATTTATTCTTATTCAGATTGATTCCTAAAATGGTGTCTGAGAAATGGGATTACGGGGTTGGAAATTGACTGTTTTGTGGTTCTTGATTGTGTTGGTGGGGTAGCCGCTTTACTGGTGTACTCAGAGGAGGAGGCTGCGAGCCCAGAGCAGGGACCGGCTTCCTGCTTCACAGCAAAGGGAGTGTGCAGATTCTCCGCAGGGAGCCCTTGTCCAAAGGTACCCATCTGGTCATTCACTCACTCACTCATCCATTCATTCATTCATTCAGCAGACATTTTCAGAGCTAGGAACCACAGACAGGAACTTTCACGTTAATCACAAAACACAAGCCACGTTGTATGCTCGGGCAACCCAAACACATTTTTATCTTCTTGTGGACACTCATGTACCTTTACTCAGAGCTGCCAAGACTTGTGGCAGCTCAAAGATAGAAGGAACCTCCTCGTGTATCTTATCTTTGGGAATAGATGATGTTCCCTGGGAATATTCTATTCAATCAGCCTCCCCGGATGAGCCTAACTCGCCAGCTCTCTGGGCAGCAGGTGCAAGGATGCCGTGAGAGGTGGAGCTGGCAGGTTGGTTTTGCAGGCCCAGAAAGCTGTCAGTACGCAGGGATGTGTCCTGCCTCTGAGTGGCTGGTAATTCTGAGCCCCTGAGCATTGCAAGAGGCAGCATTTACTGAGCACCTGCTGTATGCTGGCCCTGGAGATGTATCCAGGAATCAGAAACCACTTCAGACTCCATGGGCCTCCGGGCCTGCCAGCCAGCCACACCCTTAGTCGTGGGATTGCCTTTGTGGCAGGCGCTGTGCACAGGCCATGGGTTCTGCGAGAACATGTCACAGAGGGTACCCTGCGTGCAGGGCATGGGGTGTGAGAAGATGGGCAGGAGGAGGAGATGGAAGAGGCGGGGCGGGGAGGGGCTGGCATGGAAGTTGGGGCTTTATCCTGAGGACAAGAGGGAGCTATCGAAAGGTCTTCGCTGACCTTGGAGGGCTTGCCTGGAGGAGGGATCCAGAAAGATTCCTGATCTGGATTCACCTGGGACTTTTTCCTGAGCTCCCCTCTGAATAATAAGGACCTCCCTCCCTTGCCACCCATATTTTATTTGGGTCCAAAGGAGCATGAGGAGCCTTCCACAGCATGGCCCTTTTGGGGAACTCCAAAGAGGAGGCATCTGGTGAACTCATCTGGTCACGGAAGGCTTCCTGGAGAGGTGACATTTTTGCTGCCTCTGGGGAAGGAAGAGAAGGCTGGGGAAGGAAGCAAACACATCAGGTGAGAGCTGTGTGAGTACGTGCAGGAGCAGGGACCAGGTCCAGCCTCTTAAAAAATTAGAAAACAGTGGTTCACACAAAGCAGGCAGACAGAGCATGGCTGAGCCTTATTCTGTTGGCAGTGGGAGCCACTGAAGGTTGTTGAGCTTACCACCCGTGGGGCGGGACTTGGGTTGAGTCCCTGGGTACACGTGCAGGAGAGGGAAGAGAGAGCAAGGCGGGCCCCCTGGGGGTGAGTAGGCTCTGTTCAAATCCAGGTCTTTAGTGCAGGCTGAGACCCCCAGCTGGCCCAGGGAGGGAAGTGCCAAGAGTCCCTCAACCCTGCCACTCCCCGAGCCTTTCCCGGTGGCAGGAGCAGAGCTGGGGGACAGAGGGCGCAGGCTTCAGTCCAGAGAAGGCAGGAGGGCTGGGAAAGCAGGTTTCGGTCAGCATCGCGGGGGCCCAGAGGACAGGGCCCAGGCGCTGGCTGTCCTTAACTCTGACTCCTGGGTCTAAGGGCCTCCCCTCCAGGACACGTTTCCTGGGCAGCAAACCGGGCTTCTCAGATATCCACTGTTACCCAAGAGAGGACTGCGTACGTTTATCTAAGCAGCGAGCATCTATCTGCTGCACTCTTACCCCGCCTGCAGGTGGGGAAGGCGGACAGAAGCGTCTCCTTCTGCTCACCCTGCTGTGGGACCTCGCAGTCGTTCTAGTGGCCCAAAGGGTGAAGGGTAAAGACCCATTGACAAGCGAGGAAGCTGACATCAACTTGCTTCCAGCCCAGATTGCTACTGCAGAGTGCGTGGGTCGTGGGACTAGCGCTGTGCAGCCATGTGGCCCAGGCAGCCCAGGCAGGCTCTGGGAGGGCCGGGGCACAGGTGTGGGGCAGACATGGGGCCACCGTGCGAGGCTGCCGAGCTCCACCTCTCACCTCGGCCAGCCCCGCGAGGAGGATGCTGGCCACGCCGCGCGGAGTGAAGGCCGGTGCCCCTTCTCCCTGCTCTGCAGACGTCGATTCCCACCGAAGGGCCTCCTCGGCCACTCTTAACATCAGCCGGGTGCTTGTTCGCTGGCAGCTTTCATGGCGAGAAGCCTGCAGCTGCCACGGTTCGGTGGTACAGGAGACATGGAGCCCTTCCTGGGAGGGCAGGGGGCAGGCTGTAAGTGACACGAACCAGCAGGGTTCCTTGTCTAGCGCAGTGGTTGCTGAGAGGTTCCCGTCCCAGTGGATGCAGCGTGTCTGTGTGGCAGGAGGGTGTGCATGTGTATTTGATCTTTTACGCATTTAATGAGCACACGTGCAACGCCGGGTTCTCAGGGACCCAGAATGGCGTGAGAAGCCTGTGGGCAGTGGGTAGGGTCTTAGGTTGGAGTTCAGTGGAGGGGCCCTTATCCATAGACCAGGGACAGACGTGTGTCATCATGATCCAAGCCACACGTGGGGCAGGGCATGGTCAGAGGCCGGGACCCCTCACAAGGTACCATGAAGAAGTAACTCTTGGCCTCACCCTGGGCTAAGATAGGAAGGCCCAGGTTCAAATCCCAACTCTGCTCCTTCACTACCCGTGCCTCTGGGCAGACTGCTCAGCAGCCCGCAGCCTCCATGGCTTCATCCCTAAGGCAGGGTGACTGCACCTCTCTCTCAGTTCTGCAAGGCGCATGCACTCTGCGAGCCCCAGGGAGTTGTCAGTCCGTTTTGTGTGTCCACCAGGGTGCTCATCAGAACTCTAGTATCTCCTTCCCAGCTCCAAGTTCCTCGTTTGCCATGTCCGTAAGCCAGGGGGCAAAGTAGTGCCCCCAGTCAGGGTCCCCTCTCCGTGAGGGTCCAGGCTGAAGCTCATGTCCTCATTGGAACTGAAAGCCTGACCTTGGGGCTGGGTCTTCTTGCTGTCCCCTGAAGCCAGCCCTGCCTGTGAGCAGGACCGGGGCCTCCACGTACCTGCATCTGGAGGGCCAGCAGCCGGACTGCCCAGCCCGGAGCTGAGGTTGCATTTCCCAGGCTGGGGAGAGGCAGGAGAGCAGGGAGGAAGAGGGAGGGGTGGCTTTTGAGGACCTCATGCCTGACACCCAGATCCTGCCCGCCCACCTCACGGCAAAGTCCTTCCTAAGAGATCTCCCTAGTGTGTGATGTTGTGCAGTGTTGGCCCGTGGTGTATGTGCTTGTTATGTTTTTATTCTACTCAGTGTAATTTCATGCTCATTTCCCCATTCCTAGTAGCCTTCAGAAGCATGCCGCTCCCCAGTGCTCAATTTTGACAGTTTTCAAATTTGCAGGACAGTTAAGCCTCTGGCAGTAACACCCGAATACGAATACCCTTCCCCTGGAACTAGAGTCACTGGTGGTTACCCTGTGAGGACAACTGTCTCCTCTCTCCTCTGTAAACGCGCAAGCACACGTGTGCGTGCATTTATTGTTTACCAAATCGTTTGAAACTAAGACACCAAGACCTGTGTGCTTGAGCATGTGTCTGTCTGCTAGGAATAAGAGCCTTCTCGACTTATTGCCCCTACACAGTGAGGCGTTAACTCCATCATCTGCAACATAATTTTTTTTTTTACACAGATTCTCACTCTGTTGCTCCAGCTAGAGTGCCGTGACATCAGCCTAGCTCACAGCAACCTCAATCTCCTGGGCTCAAGCGATCTTCCTGCCTCAGCCTCCCGAGTAGCTGGGACTATAGGCATACACCACCATGCCTGGCTAATTTTTTCTATATATTTTTAGTTGGCCAATTAATTTCTTTCTGTGTTTAGTAGAGATGGGGTCTCACTCTTGCTCAGGCTGGTTTTGAACTCCTGATCTTGAGCAATCCTCCTGCCTCGGCCTCCCAGAGTGCTAGGATCACAGGCGTGAGCCACCACGCCCAGCCTGGAGGGAGTAAATTTTATTAATATATTCACACTTTGCTATCCAAAAACATATTTTATAGCCAGAAAACATGTTTTCTAAACAAACAAATAGTATTCTGTCATAGATGGAGTGTGGTTCATCCTGTCGTCAGACTTTTAGGTAGCTCCCGGGTCTTTGTTCTGCATCCCTTGGGTTGAAGGCTCTTGTCTGTGAATCTTTGCCCCACGTTTTGTTACTTCTTTGCAGTGAAGTTGCACATTTTTAAAACCCCCAATATGTTTTACCCAGTGGCCATCCACAAAGACTGGCCAGCAAAATGAGCGCTGGGCCCGGCATCGTGGGAATCGCTGGAAGCCGGGCACTTAGCGCAGCGCCACACGGGGACTGTCTTGTCGCACCCTCGAAGTGTCTCCTGGAGTCAGTCCTGATTTTGTCCCCCCACATTTGAAAGCTGAGAAACCGAGGGGCAGCAACTTTGCCCAAGGTCACATGGCTGGGATTCGGCCTACCGCCTGACCCCAGGGGAGGAGCAGCCACCACCACAGGGCGGTGTGGGGCCCAGGGCCAGGCGGCCAGTGTTGCCTCCTCCACCAGGAGGAGCCCTCAGCTCCGAGACGTTATTTTTAGGGTCCTGGCAGTGACAGGGATAACCCACTTCAGTCTTGGGGTGGCCCATGCTTTCTCTGGAGACGGGCAGGCTTGCTGCCTCCTGCTAGCCTCCTGGTGGCTTGTCCCCACAGGAGTTTGAGGTTGCTATAAGCAGCCCCCTCGGCCCCCTGAGGCTTGGCCTGGGGTGGGGACGGGGCCCAGACAGACCTTATTACCCACCAGGGTCCTGGGCAAGAGGCAGCCGATGCTGTGGCCTCCAGCTTCACTGGTTTCACAAAGCTTGCCCTTCTAGAAGCCTCAGATGGGTCCTGTGTGCCCCTGCGCCGACTGCCCTCATGGCCCAGGCCTGCCACTTGAAGAACCGCAGTGGGTTCTGAGGGCTGAGGCTACAAGCGGGACAGGTAGACTGATCCCACCAGACAGGCTGCCCGACTGGGGCCAGCTGTTGGATTGACCTGAAATCCTCCGGGCAGCGGTGACCAGGGGGGCTGCTCACCATTCCCCTCCCCTATATCCCTATTTCTGGCTGACCTGAAGCCTGGGCTTCTCCCTGAGGCCGCTCCAGGAATCCTTCAGACCTGCTGAGACACTCCTAGTGGCAGGGTCTTGGTTACACGGAACCCCTGAGGACACGCAGACGCCCAGCATGTCACCAACTCAGAGGGCACACATCTTTCCTGGGCTGTGTCAGCAGAAGCTTCCTTGTGGCTTCTGCTGGGGAGGACAGAGCTGGGACGGGACCATCTGAGCCCAAAGCCTGTGTTTTTAGTAAGAGACTCCCCACCGCTAAAGATCGGGCCCCTCTGGAATGAGCTTAGGGGCAGGCCTGGGCCGGGCCCGCCAAGTGTCCCCTCATCAGCGTCAGGAGTGGAACAGCAGCTGCCCAGACACCCTCACCTTACAGTCCTGGAGCTGAGCTCGAGGGGTTTCCTGAGCACCCCACCATGGGCTGGTGGCCGAGGCGGGTCTGGAAGGCACTGTGCGCGGTGCCAGCATGACCTGCCTGGGCCTTGGGTTCCTGCAGAGCAGTTGTATGTCCGTAAGCAGATGGGGACGGCTTTCTGCTCTGTCCTCACTGATGGGTGGAGAGTTCAGAGACCCTGGCTGGGTCTGAGGCAGCCTGTGGGAATGGCGCTGGCTCCCCTCCGGCCCTTGCCCAATCCTGGCAATTTGGCTTTGGAAGCATGGGACAATGTCAAAGGCCACTCACCTACCCAGATCTGGCAATGTGACCACACTCTGCCCTGGGTGGGAACGGTGGGGCCCAGGCAGCATAGAGAGCCTGGCAGAGCCACCACCGTCCTCGCCATCTGTCCAGCAGGTGCTGGGACGGGATTGGCAGAGAGCAAAGCAGGTAGAGGTCCCCACCCTGACGTAGCTGATGCCTCCTGGGGCCGATTGTAGAGTGGCACTGCCCGGTATGGTAGCCATTTACCACGTGTGACTATTGGAATTTCAATGAATTAAAATAAAATTTAAAATTTCACCTCTGTGGCACAGCCACACTGCAAGTGCTCCATGGCCACTTGTGGCGAGTGGCTACCACGCTGGGCAGCTCGGGTGTCGAGCGTCCTGCCGTCGCACACGGTCCTCTTGGGCAGCACTGGGTTAGAATATTGCAAGGACGTTGGCCTTTACCCAGAAGAAGATAGGAAGCCACTGGGCGGTTTTGAGTCACGAGGAGCTTGGAATAGGGCAAATCTGGGGTGAGTTCACAGCAGCTAGCCTGGTCCTGCTGTGTGAACATGCTGCCAGAACTTTCCCAAGAACGCTCTAGGGGTCCTGCTCTCATGAAAGGAACATTTTTTATTTCACCTCCTCGTTAAATATATTTCAGTGGCTGCTTCAGAGCGACTCGCTGTTGTCTGGGCTGCACGATTTCCTGCTCAGCGAGTGGGGTGGCACAAAGGTTGGAGGTGGCACCTGGGCAGAGGGCAGCCACCTGGCACGGCTGGCCCCTGGGTCTGCCTCTGTGTGCACAACCTAGAGTGGCGAGTTTGGTGGGGGCTCAGGACGCTGCCCCCACCAAGTGCCCCCCTTTGCCAGGGACGGCTCCGTGGAATTCCAGGATTGAGATGAGACGCGGGTTCTGGGGAGCAGGTTTCCTCGGCTGGTCCTGGGGTCAAGAAATCTCCTTTCCCATACCTAGAGAGCAGGCAGAGACTACACACAGAAGCCTGAGAACCAGGGCCTCTGTCCTCCCTCAAGCGCCTGTCCCCTCTCCTGCGCAGTCACCTGCCTCCCCAGCCACCACTGGCTGGCCGGTGGCGCACTGGGCAGTGGTCGCCATGGCAACCAGAGCCAGGCAAGCGGAGCCTGGAGGGGCCTCACTCAGTTCCCCTCCTCAGAAGCTGTCTTGGCTGGGGCCGGCTCGGCCCAGCTGGCCCCACCCACGTGGCGGCATCAACGTCATCATCGTTATTGGCCCCTTGGCCCGCCAGTCTCCGAGCCCCTCCTTCTTGGCCCCTGTTTCCTTGGGAATTTGGTGCTTCCCATTTGGCACCCAGCACGGAGCCTGGGTTTTGAGTCAGACCTGCGTTTGAGTCCTGGCTCTGCCATCCCGTCTCACTGACCCTTTTGGGGTGTCATGGTTGCGGAGTATACAGTGGGAAAGTGATGATCCTTCCTCTGAGGGCTCCTCGTGGGTCGTGGTGTCTGGTCCCCTCCCCGTGCCTTGCTCCCTTCTGAACTGCAGGCCACTACGGGCTGGTGTGAGCAGGTGTCCAGTGGCAGATGGAGCGTCCTGTGTGCTGCCTGTGTTGAGGCCTGTGTCTGAGTGTCCGTGGACACGTGCACATGTGTGTACCTGTGTGCCATGTGCAGGGCTCCTTGGGAACTCTGCGGGATGGGTAGAAAGGGCGGCTCAGACACTTGGGTTCTGGGTCTTTATGAGCCAGTCAAGGAGACTCGGCGATTGCTGCTACTCTAGTCCCCAGCCTGCCCAGGCCAGGGAACCAGCCACCAGCCTTTTGTTGGGTGGTGACAGTCACTGCCTCCCATGATGCAGCATCCTCTGGAGCTGCCTGTTCTTGCAAAAAAGCCCAGCGTGCAGTTCTGGCCAAAGCAGGGAGGGGCCCCAGGGCCCCATCCTGTCTTCTCCTGGCCTCCCCTCTGCCCAGTGCCCTCCCTGAGCCCCTGGGGAACCCAGTCTGAGAACCACAGGGCCAGTCGCATGTGGAACAGTGGGGGTGATGACAGCACCTTGGCACACAGGACTGTGAGAACTAAAATTAACGAAAGCATCTCTGACTACTGACGCGTCAGTTTACTGCTGGGGAAACTGAGGCTCAGCACACATAAACCGCTAATCCATGTGGCTCTTGCCCGGTGGAGCTTCCTGGCACATCGAGAGTCACCTGAGGGCTTCTCTGCTCAGTCCTTCCAGGACGGGACCTTGGAGACAAATCCCATCCAGTTGACAAATGGGGAAACTGAGGCTAGGGACAGGGTGGGGCTGGTCCAGGTAGCCCAGAGCTGGCCCCAGAGCCCCAGTCCCCACCTCAGTCCCGCCCTGCCCTGGGGGCCCTGTGACCCCAGCAGTCATGAGGCTGCCTTCTGTGTCCCCCTCCAGAGCTGCCTTCCTCGGAGCACCTGAGTGTGGCGGATGCCACCTGGCTGGCCCTGAACGTGGTGTCCGGCGGTGGCAGCTTCTCCAGCTCCCAGCCCATTGGCGTGACCAAGATTGCCAAGTCGGTCATCGCCCCGCTGGCCGACCAGAACATCTCGGTGTTCATGCTGTCCACGTACCAGACGGACTTCATCCTGGTGAGCCGCGGCTCCTCACCCCGCAGTCCCAGCACGCCGCACGGATGGTCGCCTGTTCCCGTTACACCCCACGTCCCCCATGCGCCCCGCAGCCTGGCCCTCCTGTGCTGCCCCGCAGGGAGCTAGACCTGGGGCAGACAGGTTGGTGCTGGGGGGACACCTGGCACTCACGCCTCCCGTTCTCGTCCCCAGGTGCGCGAGCGGGACCTGCCTTTCGTCACCCACACCTTGTCGTCAGAGTTCACCATCCTGCGGGTTGTCAATGGCGAGACCGTGGCAGCCGAGAACCTCGGCATCACCAACGGCTTCGTGAAGCCCAAGATGGGTGAGCCGGGCTGGGGGTGTGCGGGGGGGGAACCTCAAGAGGTCACCAGGTCCTGCCCTGGACCAGCCCCGTTCACAGAGAGTGTGGGTTCTGTCCACGGAGCACGCGTGGAGTGCCAGGGGCTGGGCGTAGTGGCTCACACCCGTAGTCCCAGCACTTTGGGAGGCTGAGCGGGAGGATCCCTTGAGCCCAGGAGTTTGAGGCTGCAGTGAGCTCTGACCATGCCACTGCACTCCAGCCTGGGCAACAGAGTGAGACCCTGTCCCTAATAATAATAATAATAGAGTGCCAGACATAACGTGGTACAGCAGTCCCAGGCAGACGGTGCTACCATGGTACAGCAAGGGTGGTGGCCATGCATGCAGCCAGCAATGGCCAGAGGCCACCCCGCCCCCACCCAGGGTGTGGGGCAGGCCTCCAGGGGCAGAGGCTGTCCAGCTGAAGCTTGGGATACAAGTAGCAGCTAAGCCCTGCGGGGAGTGGGAAGGGCTTTCCAGCAGCCTGCACAGCTCGCGCAAAGGCCCAGGGTCCCGAAGATGAGCCAGAGACTCAGGAGAGCTGGAGGTGGTGGTGGAGGCTGGAGAAGCGACAGGGCCAAGTCTCGAGGGGCCTGTGCACACTGCTACTCCAGGTCCCCACCTCAATGTCCCATGTCTTTGTGCTCCCCCAGTCCAGAGGCCGGTCATCCACCCTCTGTCCAGCCCGAGCAACAGGTTCTGTGTCACCAGCCTGGACCCTGACACGCTGCCCGCTGTTGCCACGCTCCTCATGGACGTCATGTTCTACTCCACTGGGTAGGCCCCCTCTGGTGTGAGGGGCTGCAGGGCGGGCGCCACGGCTCTGCCTGGGAGCTCCAGTCTGAGGAGGGAGACATTCTACCCTGGGAACCCCAAAATTTGGTGAAGGCCCAGGGTCACATGTACATGTAATGAACACCCCACTGCCCCCGAGCTGTAAGAGCAGCCTCAGTCCATGAAGGCACCAAGAACTCAGGTGGACAACAGTTTGCGTCCTCCTCGGCGGATTCTGTAATGTTTAGATCAACACCAGGTAGAGTGCGGGAGGGTCCAGCAAGTTGGCAGTGACCACAGCCTGTGCCCCGAGCCGTGAGCAGGTGCAGGGAAGGGGCCGGCTCCGAGGCCAGCTGGGCCTCCTGCACTGTGAAGTGCGGCACCCGCCTCCGTGAATGTGGCCGTCCCCATCGCATCAATGAGCACACAGAGGGAGGGAGCCAGCTCGGGGGCCCCAGCAAGGCAGGCTCGGGGCCTCGATCTGGCCCGGCTCCCCCAGGCCAGTGCGGAAGGATGGGTAGGGGTGAGTACGGTAGGGACCCCGCCCTCACCAGCCGCCCCTGGCCCCCAGAGTGAAGGACCCCATGGCTGCCGGCGACGACTGCGGCCACATCCGCTTCTTCTCCTTCTCCCTCATTGAGGGCTACATCTCCCTGGTGATGGACGTGCAGACCCAGCAGAGGTGAGCCAGGCCCTGGGGGGGCCGTGTTGGGCACGTCACCCACTTTGTCCCTGATCAGCCCCCACCGCAGCCCTTCACCATGGGTGAGCTGGCCCCCCAGCTCCGAGAGGTGCAGGGGTTATCTGGGGTCCCTGGTGGGCGGTGGCAAAGCGGGCATTTGAGCCCTGGCTGGGCACTGTTTGTTCGTCCACCCCCTCTGGAGCTGGGGAGGGACGTCCTGAACAGCCCAGCCCGGCACTGCCTTCCTCATCCCCCTGCCCCCAAGGCGAGGAGGCTGCAGAGCCAGCGGGTCTGGGGGGTCAGGAGGGATGATCCTGGGGGCCCGAGCTCTGCCCCCCCCCCACGGGCAGGCAGGGAAGGTTCCACGGAGGGCTGCTGGAGAGAACACAAGTAACACCAGCCTGTGGGATTTTTCTCTCGCCCCTTCGAAGGTTTCCTAGTAACTTGCTGTTCACGAGCGCATCTGGAGAGCTCTGGAAGATGGTGCGGATTGGAGGACAGCCCCTGGGATTTGGTGAGCCCCGCGGGCTTCGACTCTGGGGCTCACTCACATGCATCATCCTGGTGACTCTGTCCCTGCTCGGGGGTATAGGTGGGGACACTGGGGCTTAGGGGTCAAGTCCCCCTGATATGCCGTCCCTCCATCAGCGTGCGACAGGTATACACAGGCTTCCGGGGGACAGCAGGAGTAAGCTTCAATCAGAAGGCTCTTACTTTCCCCACTCAAAAACTAATACTTTGGCCGGGTGTGGTGGTTCATGCCTGTAATCCTAGCACCCTGGGAGGCCTAGGCGGGAGAGTCGTTTGAGCTCAGGAGTTCGAGACCAGCCTGAGCAAGAGCGAGCCCCCATCTCTGCTCGAAATAGAAAAAAATTAATCTGGACAGCTAAAAATAAATAGAAAAAAATCAGCAAGGCATGATGGCGTGTGCCTGTAGTCCTAGCCACTCAGGAGGCTGAGGCAGGAGGATCACTTGAGCCCAGGAGTGTGAGGTTGCTGTGAGCTAGGCTGACGCCACGGCACTCACTCTAGCCTGGGCAACAGAGGAAGACTCTGTCTCAAAAAATAAATAAATAAATAAAAACCTATTACCTTGCTTATTATTAGAAAACTGGGCTGTGATAAAAATCGAGAAAAACACTCCTTAGTCCCACTGCTCAGAGGTAATGAATATTGGTCTTTCTCCTTCACGTAAGTCCACGTAATGCCAGACGCCTCCCATGAGTCAGACGTTGGAGGAAATGCGTACCCAGGAAGCGCACGTTGGTCTGGCGGGCAGCAGCTGGAGGCTCCACCCAGATGTTGAGGATACAGAGCCGCCCGCTTAGCTGTAAATATGCCTGCAAGAGAAATGACTCACAGAGAACCTGGAAGATTCTAGACTGGCAGATTCCATATGTTTTTGACTGTGGTCTGGAGTCGATAGATTTTACGTGGTGACCCAGCACACACGCACCGGACAAGTCCGACTAAAGTCTCCCAAGACCACGCTTGCTCTAGCTTCACGCTCTGTATAAAAGCGCTGGTCACCAGCCGTCTAAATTGATGTCACAACTTGAAGTTTAAAAGGTCCCATGCTAGACCTTAATCCCCTACGCCTGCCCCCGTGTTTATAGGGGTAGTTGTGTCTACAGCTAAAGCAATCTTAGGACACAACCTGTCTCCACCACGTAGCAGAGTGGATAGTGAGAAGTGCAGGCATGAGGCCCACACGGCCACCAAGAGGCCTATGGATTCAGGCAAAAATCGGGAACTTGGGCGACATGCCAGGCCACTCCTGCATAAGTTCAGGGGCTGAGAGCACAGGCCAGGGCCACGGCCAGGGGATGCTGGGCTTGGTGACAATGGGGGTGACCCACAGAAGGGTGCAGCCCAGGGTGAGTCCCAGGCTTGGGCTTCAGAGTCCTATGGGAGCCGGTGACCAGATCTGCACCCACCCACCCAGTCAAGGCAGGTATTGGGGACGTGCGTCATTGCTGAAATCAGAACACAAGCTTTTAGGGAAACAACCTAGGGAATTGTGTAGGGGGAGGAGAGGGGTCCTCAAATCCTGGAGGTCTTCTTGTAGGAGGAAGCCCTGTGTGTGCCTTCCAATCACGGAAGGGAGCCTGGGAGGGAGGAGGGACCCGCCCCAGGCAACCCCAACTGAGGTTACAAAGCGGGTGGGAGGGGCTTACAGACCCCTAGCTCTGGGATCTGGAGGGAGGAGGACATCGCATTCCAGCCCCAACCTGATGCCTTTAGAACAGGCGGAGGCTGTTACCTGGCTGGGACTCCGGGGAGAAAACCGAGGCTCAGAGAGGAGGTGATCTGCCCAGGGTCATCGGGCTAGAAAAGTCAGGGCAAGACTGTGAGGGGCCTGAACCCACGTCCTCCCTGTCGTCCATGCCACCTCCAGCTCTGTCTTCGGAAAATTCACAAGGCGGATGGGAACACGAGGCGCAGAAATGGGCAGAGGGTGACGGGTCTGTGGCGCCCTGGGAAGGACGCGCCCACTGATGGCCAGTGACCACACAGGAGGCCCCTGGGTGGAGGGGCCTTTGGGCTGAGCCTTGGGGGTTGGGGAGGGAGAAGTTCTCTGGGAAGCCTGTGGGCGTGGGGTGGTGCTGGCCGCAGAGGGCAGGGCGCTCCGGCCACGCGGTGCTGAGTGCGGTCCCCTTTTCCTAGACGAGTGTGGCATCGTGGCCCAGATCTCCGAGCCCTTGGCTGCTGCAGACATCCCCGCCTACTACATCAGTACTTTCAAGTTCGACCACGCGCTGGTGAGTGTCTCCCGCCCCAGGTGGAGCCTGGGCAGGGCCGGGGCAGGTGCCCGGGCTCACGGGCAGGTGTGTGCTTGCTGCCCCTGCAGGTGCCAGAGGAGAACATCAGCGGCGTCATCAGTGCCCTGAAGGTCAGCCAGGCAGAGGAACACTAGAGGGCCTCTTCTGCTGCCCCTGCCGCTGCCGGCCCGGGCCCCGCCCCCACCCCAAGCTTGTTCTTGCAGTATTTCTCCACAGACTGGAAAATCGGCCCGGGGACCCCCAAGGAAGGGGCCTCTGGGAGACCCCCAATTGCCAACCCTCCAGGCCTGGGGCCCAAGCCAAGGCCTCCCCATGCCCTCTTGCCTTCCCAGAGCCTCCAGACCCCCGGAGAGCGACCTGCCTCCTCCCCCCGACCCCACCCCCAGAAAGTGGTTTCTGAGGTCCAGGGAGCGCGTGAGCCGATCCACGTTCTCATCCGTCCTCGCCCGCAGCCAGGGCAGATGCCAAAGGAAGCTGGTCCCTCCCACGAGACGCTGGTGTGCCGTTCCTCATGTCATCCCGCGGGGCTGGCAGAGCGGGGCTGAGTTTGAGGAGCCCCGGAAGGCCCCCCTGAGGGTGGAGGCCGAGTACTGTGGTCGCTGGTCTCCAGCCCCATCAGCTCAGGGCTGGTTCCCTCAGAGTGGAGGCCAGCGGGTCAGAGTGGCTGGGGAGGCTCAGATGGGAACACGGCAGGGACCCTCGCTGGGAGGGACCCGAGCCACCCCGCACCTCGCCTGCCAACCACAGGGCCTGCGCCCGACTCCCAGCACGACTGCCAAGAGGGCCCTGTCCAGTCCTCCCACCACGAGCGTTCACTCCTTGGGGAGGAGGGGCCCCGGGAGACCCACCAGCCTGGAGCACCGGCTCCTGTCCCTTCTTTCCCTGGACCCCACTTAGGCAGGCGGAGCCTCAGTTTCCCCCAGCAGGAGGCATCCCCATGGGGGTTCTTAGGGGACTCCCCACCTCCCCAGCAGTTGACTAGACCAGCACAGGCCTCCCCGCCGTCCCCCCTCCCCAACTCCCCACTCGCCCGCCCGCCCGCCCCTCGGCTGGGGCCGCGGCGTTCCGAGTACTTGACCTGGGAGGCAGCTTAACTGAGCCTTAATAGAGAATATCGTACCTTGTTTTAGTTTTTTATTTAATGTTTCTGCGCCCAGGCTGCTGTTGGCAGTGGTTTCTGTTTTGGGGGGCTGGGGCCTATTTGAGTGCTGTCCGGGGCCCAGGGCTCAGTGTCACTTGGCTCGTGCTCTGAGGTTCAGGGACGGGCATGAGAGGGAGCTGCGGCGGGGCCCTAGACCGCGTCCCGAGTGGGGGCCTGGGGTCGGAGGCCTGTTACGAATGCTGGGACCATTGACGCCCCGCCTGGGGCCTCCCAACCAGCCGAGGTCTGTCTGGGCATCAGCGCGGGTGAGGTGGACAGGGGGTGGCAGGCCAGCCGGGTGGTCCTGTGCCCCGCGGAGGGCGCTGTCTGGGTGAGCAGGAGCCCTGCCTCCTTCCCAGGCTGCAGCTGAGTTGTGCTGCCCCCGAGAAGGTCAGAGGAGAAGGGATATTTTCCCGCCCTGGTGAAGGTAGGACCCTCTGAGCCCCGGGGCTCACCAGAGGGAGGAGCTTTCTTCGAGATCCTTCGGGATGCTGAAGGGCCCACCACACTAATTAGAAACCCACTTTTTTTTTTTCTTAAGTTAATTCATTTTGCACAAAATTCCAAAACTTATAAATCGTTTGCTGGTCCCAAGAGGGAGGTGGCCAAGTGGGAAGGGCAGTGGTTAAAGCCCTAAGTCCCCTTTCTGTCCTTGGAAGGCCTTGATTTTCCTTTCTGTTATGTCCCCGATGGTGTCACTTCTCTGCCTTTCCCTCCCGCTGTGCAAGTGTGTCGGCCGCGTGCCCCCGAGTCTTGTGTTCCCTGGACCTCCTAGGACGTATCTGTTGTACACACCTATAAATACCTATGTTTTATGTTGATAGAGATATATACTGTAAATAGCATATATACTTGAGCAATATATATGTTAATATATACCGTGTGCGCAGTACGTGGACACAGCCCCACCGTGCGCGCGTGCGTGGGTGCGAGGCCTCCGCCCCATGCTGTCTGCCGGGCACGCAGGCACGTTTGAGCCACCATATATTTTTAATTCAAGTATATAGGCAATACGATTATTAGAGAAGACGGTTGAATCCCTCAGACCTGACCGGAGAGAAAGCGAAACCAGCAGCCGAGGAGCCCGCGGCCCAGGGCACGTGCTGAGGGGCCGCGTGGTGTGGGTCGCATTCTCTGCATCCCCGTGTCCCCAGCCAGGGCCCCTGGACACTTGTTTTATTTTGGGGGATGTTGGTTCAGAGGAAAGAGTAGTTGGAATTTATTGGTTTTTAACAGAATGAGCCCCCCCCAACCCTAGTGTCCTCACCCTGAGGACCTGGGCCCGCCGGATGGGCCACACTCCCTGCCATACCCAGGGTCCCGTCCTTGGATGGTGGTTTTTCTGCAGGTGGCTTAGCTGATCTTTTTTTTTTTTTTTACCTGCAAGCTTAGAAATCTCAGGTTCTTTTCCCAGGTCTCCCCCTGCGGATGGGCCGGTCTTACCAAGGAAAGCCTGCGTGCCAGGAGGGTCGTGGCGAGGCATGGCTCTCCCGCCCTGGCCTGCTCCACAGGTGTGGCCCCTGTCCCAGCCTCCGTCTCGGGAGCTGCCCCCAGGGGACCCCACGCCTCGGCCATGGTGGGCTCTTTAATGTTCCCATTCCCGTCCTCCTGCTTGTGTGAAGAAGCTTGGTTTATCTTCTCTTGGTGTTCTGTGCGTAGTGTAGTCTTGCTTTGGTCTCATGGCTCTTTGTGGGGGGAACGTGAGTGGTTTTCCCAGGGCTGGCTGCCCTGTCCTTTCCCCCCCCCGCCCCAGCCGTGTCCTGGGCTGCTGGCTGTGAGGGTCTCTGCGGGCCCCGTGCGGAGGGTCGTGTTTCTCAGCGGGGCCTGGGGGCCCGCGCCACTGGCATATGTGTGGGGCTGGCCGCCCAGCTGCGCCATCCTCCCCCAGCCCCGGCTTCAGCGGCAGCTTGAGGAGGATGGGCCTGTGGGGGAGGGAAACAGGGTCTTCACACCGTGGGGTCTCCAGGAACACAGCCGGGCTGCCTGGGCAGGGCTGCCACGAGGAGGGGGCGAGGGCAGCCCCAGAGCTTGTCTTTGCCTCTGGGGGGCTCCCTAGTAAGAAAAGCTCAGTCTAAACACCCCCGTCAGCCCTCGTGCCTGTACGCTACAGATGGGGTGAGGGCAGCAGTGCCCCTCCCACTGACGAAGCCATGCCTCGGCATGGGGCTCCCGTGATCCCCAAGAACCCCCCTTCTCCCTCAGCACCAGTCCTGGCCCTGCGAAGACCCGGGCATGGCCAGCTCTGCCCCTCCTTCCTCCACGGGGTCTTGACACCCCCTGAGAGGCGCTGCCCAGCACTGCCCCAGCCCAGGTGTGCGCCCGGGCTGGAGAGGCAGCCTGACCCCGCTAGCCCCCTGCCCCTAAGACCAGGGGGCCCAGGGCCTCCCACACCACCAGCAGCCTCCCCTTCCCCCACCTCCAGGCACCAGGCCAATCGCAGGTGGGAAGGGAGGGAGCCAGGTGGCCCAGAGCTGCCCACTGTGACCGCCCCAGCAGGCAGCACAGCCGAGGTGACTGATTTGGTGTCCAGCAGGAGGATGCTTGGTCTGGTGGGGCTGATCCCTGCTGAGGTGACACGGGATGCCATGGCAGTCTGGAGAGAAAACTTGGGTGGGTGACAGGGCCAGGTCCCCATCCAAGCCCAGGGTGCCATTTGCCTGGTGACCTTCAAACGTGAACCTGGCCGCCTACCACCAGCTGCCCCAGCACCTTTCCCAGGCAGACCCTTAGGTGTCCCGAGGCCACTCCGGCCACCTCTCCACACCTTTAGATCTGGATATGGGGACAATTAGGGCTCTTCCCAGCCCTAGCTAAGAGAAGGGGCCTTTAGGGGACCCCCACGTGACTGCAGAGCACTCCAGCCCTGGGACTGAGGGATCTTTGATGCCACGTCCTGAGTGAAGCACTTGGCTGGGGGGAGGTGGGCAGGAGACACCCCCGTACCTCCAGCAGGGCTGGGAGCAGAGGAGTCAGCCTTGGCGGAGCCTGGGTGAGGGTGACGAGCGGTGGCAAGACCTCAGCGCTGGGTACCGTGCTGAGGCTGGGGCTCGAGGGGAGTCACCTTCTGCCCAGAGAAGCCACCAGCCCCACGGAGCCGCACAGGCACGCAGGGACGCTCGGGAAGAGTGGCCGGGGCTTGTCACGAGGGATGTTGAGCCCTGGCAAAGCTAGGTAGCTTTTCCTGCATCTCGAAGCTCATCCCAGTTGCTTGCTTGCGTTTTCAAATTAGAGGCACCAAAAGGACAAGTTTGATTGTCCCTTGTGCCCTTTCCACATACTGGGAAGAAGCCGCGGTGGGCTGTGGCTGGCTGTGCTGTCTGTCCCTCCTGCGAAGGCTGCTGTCCTGGACAGTGAGGGTGGGAGCGCTTGCCAAGGCATGAGGTGGTCCTGGGGGCTGATGGCACCAGGGGTGGCCTGAAGCCAAGCCCAAGACCCAGGCGTGGCATCATGGGCAGGCTGGTGGCGAGTGGTTGGTACGGGGGAGGGGAGCGCAGGGAGTCGGTGGTGCAGGGCGGCCTGCCCTGGGAGTCGGGACGCTGGTCTGTGCATGTTTACGTGTGTGTGTGTGAGCGTGGGCGTGGTACACGGTAGTGTGGGTGTGCACACGTGTGGAGCCCACATCTGAGCTATGGGACAGGTTCTTTCAGTATTTTGAGTCCTCGGTAGCAGTCTTGCAACCAGTACAGAGGCGGTTAGGGGAGTGGGGGCAGGCCCAGAGCGCGGGCCCTGGCTGCGGGGCAGCGTGGGGTTGACTGTGCAGGCAGAGGTGTCCCCAGAGGCCTGGCAGTCCGTGAGTCGGTCTGAAGGGGCAGGGCCTGGCCGTGCTGACTCTGCAGAGCGCCCGGTCCTGCAGACAGCGTTCACAGGGCGGGGCCGTGCGGGCTGGGCCCCCACACCCACCGGGGCTCACCCTGGAAGAGTGCCCAGCAAAGCTGGAGACCCCACTTCGTTTGCAGGGGCAAAAAGCAGGCCAAGCTCAGTGCGTTTTCCTTTCCGCTGCCTCGGTTTCCCTGTATTCAGAAAACAGCCCAGGAAGAGGTGAGCAGACTGGCTCCGACGCAGGAGGGGCTCACAAGACAGCTCCAGGCCTGCCCCTGCTCTATGCCAAAATCATTTCCGTTATCCCGAGACGGGGCGAGCGGACGGTGGACGCGCTGTGGGGCTGTGAGGGCCTCCGCCCTGCCCAGAGCGCACCTTTGGAGGGGCAGGGCACCCTGCCCACGGCCCTCTGGCCCGGTCACCAGCAGTCGCAGTGGCACCTCATTGGTCCCAGGGTCTGGGCAAAGGGGAGAACTGGCCGTCCTGCCCCCACCCCCAGGGCCCTCACGCTTATTTTCTTGTTGAAGAAACACAAAACCTTTGAGATTCATGTACTGTATGATGGCAAGAAAAAGTACCTAATGTTCCCCCCAAAAAAGACAGTATATTTTGTACTTTGTAAAGTGTTAATTAAAATGAAGAAAAAAACGATGTCGGCTGACGGCTGATTTTGTGCTGATCCATCCAGGGCTGCGTCTTTTCTCTTTCTCTTGCACATTGTCGGGGGAACACAGGCCGGGGTGGAGGGGCCAGAACAGCTGTTCTAGAACAACACCCAGAATGTGAGAAACGGCCCCCAGAGCAAGAGGGGCTGCACTGGTTACCTCACACTGCGTGACAAGTTGCCCCAAAACTTAGTGGCTTAAAATAGTTTAAGTATCACAGTGGGCCAGGAATTCAGGAGCAGTTTGAGCAGGGTCACGCATGAGGCCGCCGTTGTCTGAAGTCTCCAATTGGGCTGGAGGCTCTGCTGCCTAGGCTGGGCCTGGCTGTGAGCAGGAGGCCTCAGTCCTCCCCACGTGGGTCTCCCCACAGGGCTGCTTGAGCCTCCTCACAGTATGGAGCCTGCCTGGCTTCCCCCAGAGCAAGGGATTCCAGGGCCTGGGTAGAGGCCAAACTGCTTGTTATCCCTGGCCTCAGAATTCACAGGCCGTGACCTCCACCGTACTCTGGTGTCTGCAGCCCAGCTCTGATTTGACGTGTGGGGAAACTTCGCAATGGAGCGAAGAGCAGGAGGTGAGGATCGCTGAGTCTTGGAGGCTGGTGCTACGCCAGCGTCCTCCCCAGGCCTCAGGCAGCGGCAGGCCTGGGCGTCGGGGCTCAAGGGGCTAGACAGGCCCTTGCCGATGGCAGGGGGGAATCGGGGCTGTATGCACAGCCAGGGGCCTCTGCCCCAAGCCTAGAGCCCTGCTGTGGCCATCACAGCCCCAGAAAGGTGCCAGAAACCCCAGAAATGATTCCTCCAGACAAGGTATCCTGGGGTCAGGAGGGGACACTGGGCACTTGTCCCTCTGCTATGGCTTTTGACTCCTGCCTTGTTGGTAGGTGGGGTGCTGGGGCTGCCCAGGTGAGGAAGAGATGGGCTTGAGACCAACAGGTCCTGGACCCCAGACACCCTTGTCCATGGGGGGTTGGGGGACAGGTGAAAGCAGGGCAGGGCTGAAGACCTGTTCCTGCACTCAGTCCCCAGCCCCCAGCCCACCTGCCTGGCAGCCCTAGAGATGCAAAGGAGTGAAAACGGGGCTGAATATTCTCCCTCCACCCAGAGCCCAAGTTCTGGCTGCTGAGAAGGCTTTTCTGTCTGGGATCTGCACACATCCCACTGGAGCCATGGGGACAAACTCAAAACCGCTACAAGGGCCTCCCGAGCCTGGCCTTCGCTTCCACTGCTCACTCACATCCACGCGGGCCGGGGCTGGTGTGACCTGCCACAGCTGCCTGCCACACCAGGGCTGCTCCCAGAGCCAGCCCAAGGCATGCAGTGCTAGGACAGACCACACGGGGCGCTGTGCTCGGACCAGGGACTGCCCAGCTGCCCAGGGGGAAGGGGCAGACCCAAGAAGCAGAGCTATGAGGGTTGAGCTTGGTGACACAGGAGGGACCAAGCAGACTGAACAGCACTGGCTCAGAAGGCACAGAGGGCACGTGGGGAGGGAGGAGACAGACGGGGCTGGTGGAGGGTGAGGCTGAAGCGCAAGGGCCTCAGACTTCTGTGCAGCAGGAGACCAGGCCTGGCATCCGAATAGGGGGTTCTGGGTTCCTGAATATGGCGAAGGGGAAGTGGCATGTCCAGGGACACCGTCCTGCCTTTGCTCTCAGGGGAGATGACCCGGGCTGGCTCAAGGGCCATCCCCTGAGCCTTCACAGTCGAGAGTCTGGGGTGGCAGGGCCAGGCCAATGGCCCACCAGCCCCTCCGAACCACCCACGAGCCCCCAACAGGGTAGAATTCCTCCTGGGGTGCAGCTTTGCCTTCTACTTGGCAGGGCTCGCAAAGCTAACTGCACGCGTTAGGAACCCCTGGGGAGCTTTCTACCCACGCCGGACTCCACCCCAAAGAGTCAGACTCTGCTGGTCTTAATTGCAATATGGTTTTACCCCGTGAAATTTAGCCAGCGGGGGTAAGCTCCCGATGGTAAAGAAAGCTAGAAAAAGCACAAAAAAGGAATATGTGACGTGAAATCATGGTGACTGCTGCACAACAGTTAGCTAAAACAAAACAAAACAAAAACCTGAATTGTGTGCTATAAAATGGTTTTATGTTATGTGACTTACACCTCAATTTGGGGGGAGGGGAGATGTGGCAGAAAAAGCAACAGGTCTGATGCACAGTGTAAGGGACACCCAAAAGGAAAGGTGCCTGTTCTGACAGTCCCTGACAGGTCCATTCCCATAAACACAGTGAGGGTGACACAGGAAAGGAACGGTAAGAAGGAGACAACATGGAGGTGTTTACCTTGCAAAGGTTGGGAGTGGAACGTCACATTTGGGATGTTCTTCCAAGAGATGTCCACCTGAGCTGTGCTAGCCCATGGCCCATCTCTGAACACACAGTCACCAAGTTCTGGTGAGAGCCATGCATCCGGGGTCCCTACAGCGGAGGCAGAAATACGGAGACAGCCAGCCCCAAGGAGCCTATGAGGAACAGCCCAAGTTGTAGTCAGGGAAATAAACATTCAGTATCTTGGAACTTACAGAGTCTGTGGTGGATTAAACAATACAAGTCAGAACTTAAAAAAGTAAATGAATGATCCAGCAATTCCATGCTGAGGTATATATACTCATGACAACTAAAAACTTATGTTCACACAAAAACTTGTACAGAATATTCCACAAACAAAACGCCAGGCCAATGTAACATTTATATAATGTATGAATGTTTTGACCTTCATTAATAGTCAAAAAGCAGAACCACCCCAAATGTCCATCACCTGATGAATGCATAAATAAAGTGTGGTATATTCTTCTTAAAGCCCCCAGATGAGTCTATTGCCGGATGATTCTACTGGTTGAGAAGCCCAGGGTTAAGGGGTAGACTCTGCCCAAAGGGATCCCAAAGTCCCTGTCACGAACACTGTGTCCCTGGGCTGCCTGCAGGGCAGAGGCCTCATCTTGACTTCTCCATCTCGAGGCCACACCAGTCAGAGGCAGAAGCTTGAATGAGGCATCCTACTCTACACAGCGTGCCCAGCACAGGACCTGGCACACAGCAGGTGCTCAGACCATGCAGCCCATCTGTCCTCTTCCTCACCTTCAATATCCCCCACTGGAAAGAGGGTCAGTTCTGCAGCAGTGGGGCCAGCTCACTGCCAATGGCCTTAGTCCCCAAGGAAGGGACTCAAGCAGGGCAGCTTTCTGATGGGCCTGGCTTCGTGTGCTCCACTCTGGCCTCTGGGCATTCAGCTGCCACCTGCTCCCAGAGCGATGACGTCTCTGGTCTTCACCACGAGCACCACCTACCCCAGCTACCCCTCCTCACATTGCCTCCCTAGCAAGACTGAGTCCTGGTTTGAAGAGACAGCAGTATCTGGGTTTATCCTTTTAAACTTGACTGTGGAGGATGCGCCTTGGTGTGGCCCCAGAGCTGAGAAAAGCCCAAACACTAGAGGGACACCACTGTCTCCAGTTGAAGCTTAACTGGGGCTGCCAAGGCCAGTGCGTATCGTGGAATTCATGACAGTGCAGCATCTCTTGGCAAGCTGGCTAATGCCCCCTGGGAGAAAGGCAAGTGTGAGGGCCTCAGGGCAGGATAAGTTCACAGTCACAGGCAGGACAGGGCCTGGTGCAGATGGCTGCCTCAGGCCGTGCCAGCGCTGGGTGCCATCCCCAAGGCCATATCAAAGGGCCTGTCCTGTGAGGTTGCATGAGTAAGCTGGGACGACAGATCAGCACCGGGCCGTGGATTGCAGACAGAATGGCCCTCAGAACAGCGTGAGCAGCTCCCGCTGCCATTCAGAGGGGCCGGGTCCCCGAGAGATGCTGGCACGGGACAGACGACTAGAGGAGAAGTGCAGAATCTTCATAAATGCATCCTGAGTTCTGACCCTGGGCCAGGCGCGGTGCCAGGCACTCGGCCAGAATGTAACCTGCTGCGGTGCCAAGCCAGAGTATTCTCTTTATTGCATATTTCTCAGGATTCTCAGGACTCTGTCACACGAAACAAAGTACCTAAGTGTTTCCTGAATTAATGAAAAATATGGGCCAACCATACATTCAAGAAACAAGAACAGTCATGACGGGATTCTGTTGAGGCTGACAACCTTCCAGGAATGACACGCTTCTATTAGCTGATTTAGGTTCTTCATGCCATTGTGGCACGGGGGCCTGCACATGTGGCAGGGGCACGGAGGACGGGGATGGCGGCCCACGCACCTTGCAAGCCACTCTGGCAGGGAGACGGTGGTGGCTGAGGGGCACACTACACCATCCACCCAGTGCCTCTCTGGCCTCGGCTACTGACCCCTACACAGATGAAGGAACAGAGCCTGAGTATAGGGACAGTGAATGACCAGGGGACACAACGGTGTTGGCACAAGGCTCACTGCATCCAGGGTGCCGTTCACGCGCCCACTAACGCCAGAGCAGACGGGCGGTGGCAAACACTCCCCGGGAGCACAGTGATAAAGCCAGTAACCAAGCTAACGGCACAGCACGTGCTGGGGGGGCTGGGAACAAGGACACGTGCTGAGACAAGCACAGATGACACCCGGGGAGAGGGCCTGGCCCGTGGCAGGGGAGCTCCCCCAGGAGCCCCAGTGACCCATAGAGGGCACCGCCAAGCAGCCCAGCTGGGCAGAGCAAGGCCTGACCTCCTGCAACACTTACCCTCTGTAAATCAATATGTGCTTCACGGCTTGTATTTCGCCGAGGTCAGATTACCCTTCTCACCACCGGCAACCGTAGACCTGGCCACACCAGGAGTGTCAGGAAGGACAATGACACACAGTTCTCAATTTCTATTTCAAGTTCATGGAAAAACTTTACTGTGATAAGCTTAGGAATAAACCTAAGGATTGTGGTCACAACCCAGGTGAGGGTTCCTGCAGCTGCCACGACGGGGCTGCTCCCCTCGACACCCAGCTGGCTGGTCCTCCCGGCTTCAGGTAGCAGCAAGGACGCCGCCTGCTCGGTGACCATGCTGGTTTAGAGCACAGCCCTGCCAACACCCGACCCCTCTTCCTCCTTTCTCTCCCCTGCCCACAGGACCATCCCCCAAGCTGGTAGTCTACTGGTTTACATCTGTTCCCCTCCCTAGAACGTAGGCTTCACGGGGAGGGGTTGTCACATGTGCCCAGCGTGATGAACGGTACCTGGCACCGCGCAGGGGCACACAAGTGCCGAGTGAAGGCGTAACAGGAATGGGGCACAGGTGGGCAGCACCTGAGATTCCCGTTTGTGACGTGGGTGCCAGATATTTTCTCCTGACTGAACTATGAGAGCACGACCTGTTCAGAAAACATTTTTCAAGCGGGACTGTCTTCGAAAGTATTTTTCGCTGGCCTCTTTATCCAAAGCCTTGTTTTTCAAAGGTAATCTCTAAATGATCAAGTCAAACTATAAAATAAAAAACTTCAGTTCTTAAAAATCAAAAGGCAGAGAACAGATTTTATTCCAAAAGAGATTTTTAAAAGATGTTTTTAAAGGAAAAGGCAAGTCACGCTACTAAATCAAATGTTCTTCACAATCTGGATCCTTCTCCAAGGCCAGCTGGCACTCCGGCCAAGCTTTTGTGGATGTGTTCCGGCCCTCAGCCCACAAGAATTCGGCCTCGATCTTCTTCCTGAGGGGCTCCTCAGCGTTTCCAAGCCAGGCAGTGAGTGAGAACAGGCACAAGGCTGGAGACAGCCACGGGCCCCATGGGGCAGGGGGCTGGCACACGCTGGCAGCTACATGGAGAAACCAAGTCCTGCCAGGGAGCCTGCGGTGTGGCAGCCCACCCGAGGGGGCTGTGAGCAGACTGACGGGCCGAGGCCAGCCTGGCTCCCTCAGCTACATGGGGCTCGGCCTGGGGCACACGCACGCCTGCCAGACACAAACCAAGGGGCCTGCCATGACAGAGGGGAGACAGAAGCCCGCCTGAGCGCCACATTCTGTCAGGCCACCTTGTAGATCACGCAAAATGTCACCCAGTGAGGGCTAAGCTCTCCTAAAACCAGTGTCTTGGGCCAAGCATGACATTAGAGGGTTACCTGGAGAAAGCCAAGCTGTGTAAATCCTCGTCCCTGCCCTGGGCCACCACAGCCCCTCAGGAGCTCGGCCCACTAAAAGCGGCATCCTGTGCTGGATTCTGCAGATCTCGTCCTCGGCTGGAGAAGGGACCTCGTCCCAGCTGCTCCCAGCGTGTGCCCACTAAGGATTTTGGAGAGAATGCCACATTCCACAATGGGTCCTGATCCTCTTCTGCCACCCCCCAAGAACCCCACTGGCCGGCCGCGTGCCGCATCTGCTGAGCAGGCCGAGCAGCTCTAGGGCCAGGGCCAGACTCCAGCAGGTCGGGCGGGAGATTCAGATGAATGACTTGGCCAGAGTCACCATGTGATCCACACCACACGCCACATCCACAGGCTCCCCGGGCATCGTCACCTGAAAAATAAGGCCCAGCGCACCATGAGGGGGAGATGGCACACAGAGAGGTAGCCGGGCCTTGCGGTCGGCCCAACCTGGCCCTGCCTCTTAGTAGGTCACTCACCCTCTCTGGCCCTCGGCTGTCTCCCCTGGAAATGGGGATGAGCCCACCTACCCACAGGGCCATTAGGGCAGCAGCCATCACTATTCACGTCCTCCCCTCAGAGGGGCTGCTCGGGGCAAGAACACAGACCTGTGTACCATCCTGGGACATGCACATCCCACAGAGACCGCTCCCCTGAGCACATCCCTGCCAGGCTCCCTGCCTTCAAGCTGGGGAGTCAGTGACCTTTACTGGGGCCACCACCATGGCTCGCTGGGCAGCTCCAGAAACCTTTCTCTTGCTCTGTGGGTCCAGTTGGGGAACCAGGCCCTGCTGGCGCCCTGTCTTCCGTCCCCTTGCCTGTCCAGCCCAGCCTCAGACACAGGCAGGCTGTGCAGCCACGCTCAGGGAGCAGCACGGGCTGTGTCTCAGATCTTGCTGGGAACCTGTCTGGGCTGACAACACGACATCAGGGGAAGCCCCGGCCCTCAAGGGAGCAAGAAGACAGCCTCGTTCAGATGCGGCAGCGCAAGCCTGTTCACCTTAAAAAGGGTGCCGCCGTTTGACAGCCTCGCCTTGGAAATAGACACCCCGCACAGTCCCAGGTGTGCCCAGAGCCACACGGCCAAGCCACTAAGAAAGGGGCAATTTTCTTTCTCATTCTTGTTTATTATTATGACTAGGTAATGCAAAAGGACATTCAGTGAAAAGGAATAAAAAGGTATTAAATACCTCTTAATACCACCCCTACCATCATCTGTCCCAGTCCTCACCTGCCTCTGAAGTGGAAACCATTAATACTTTATTTTTTGAGACAGAGTCTCACTCTGTTGCCCAGGCTAGAGTGTCGTGGCATCAGCCTAGCTCACAGCAACCTCAAACTCCTGGGATCAAGCGATCCTCCTGCCTCAGCCTCCTGGCTAGCTGGGACTACAGGCATGCACCACCATGCCTGGATAATTTTTTCTATATATATTTTTAGTTGTCCAGCTAATTGTTTCTATTATTTTTAGTAGAGACGGGGTCTTGCTCTTGCTCAGGCTAGTCTCAAACTCCTGAATTCAAACAATCTGCCTGCCTCGGCCTCCCAGAGTGCTAGGATTATAAGCGTGAGCCACCGAGCCTGGCCAATTAATACTTTTAACTACTTTCTGGTTGTCCTTTCAGAGGTTCTTTACACAAAAAGTAGCAGACGCAAGACTTGTTCTTTCCTATCCCTGATGCCCTGCATGGCCTGCCCACCGCCCTTTGCCAGGACACTGATGCTGCTTCTACAGACCAGATCTGAATTCGGCAACCCTTCCCTGGTGGCCTCACTCAACCGGCAGTGTGACAGCTGGAAAGGGGATCCGTCACAGTCTGTAGAGTTTACTGAGCTTAAGAGGGGAAACGACTCATCCAGATGGCCTGGCCAAAAAGCACACAGGCAACAGGCGCTGACCCCGGAGCTCTGTGCCTACGCTGGGGACACGAGACCATTAGGGACTCCTGGCCACAGGTAAATGGATGCTAGAAACCAAGTCATGCCATCCCCCTGTCCCTAAACAAACGTCTCTAGCAGAACCTATTACAGAAATCGCTAAACAAACAAGAACCGGTGTCCCGGTTCATCGCAAAGGCACGTAGATGGGGAAAGCGTTCCAGGCTGGCCCTGGAGCAGAAGAAAACACGCTGCCTCTGGTGACAGGGCCCAGGTGAACTCTTAGCAACCTTCCAGCCATTAGAGAGCACTCTGTTTACCTTTCCCAGGAAAGTGCTGCTCTCCTCACTCTGCGGCCAACCTGCTGCACTTAGCACCTCTGTCCCTGTCCCTCAGTGCTCTGGCCATTAGAGCCCAAAGCAGCACAAACCACTTGCCTTGGGTCACTTGCCAGGACAACTGCCAGGACGACAGCCTTTGCCTAGGGCCCCTGAGAGCCCCCTCTCGGGAGCAGCGGTGGCTCCCTGAGGCTCCAGCTCCCCCTGGCGAGCGCTCTCGCACGGTCCAGAGCGGAGTCCAAGAAAACACCGCCCTTAGCAGTGTTTTATTTTTGTCCTAGTCAAGGTTAAAAGGAGTTTCTATTCTAAACCCTTTCACACTCACAACTCTCCTGCAAAGGAAAGCGGCTCTAAAACCAGAACCACATTCAGCCTGAGTGACTCTCTTAGAAGTCTGAGCAGAGTCGGTTTAGCCACATCTCTTTCCAGTTACTTTCTAAAACAAATGCCCAGCAGGTGAGAGACAGAGGAGCAACAAGAAGGGGCGCAAAGCTGTGAGTCTCTCATGGCAATAAGAGATGAACCCAACAAAGGGGCACGGCTCCGGGCCCAGCTTGTGAAACACGCTCCTCTCCTGTGCTGTCAAAACCACCCAGGAACTATTCAACGGCCACGTAAGGAGGAGGCCAGGGGTCAAGGGATTTCCCAGCTTGTCCCCTAAAACCCCACCCGGTCCTGAGCCGAGGGACACATCAGGAATGGAAGTGGTCTGCAGGCCCCAGTTCAAATCGTACCCAACCCACTTAGGGGCCATGAAATTTGGGGCAAGTCCCTTCAACTCCCAGATCCCACAAACACACTGTGGAGGGAGAGCCGACCCTCAAAGGTTGAGGATGACAGAGAACAAATGCAAAGCGCCCTGCACATTGTCCACGCCCTGCCTCCCACGAAGAAAGGCTGCATGTTTGTTGAAAGTGACTGCTTCCTGGGAGGTGAAGGTCATTCAAAACCCCCTCGAATCCTGTCCCAGGCCTGTGGTGCTCCTGCTTAAGTCAGAGGGTCCTGAAAGCCCAGACAACCCCTAGTCAAATGTTCCTCAGCTCTGCATGCTAGCTTCTCTCCAGCTTCAGGCTCTCACAGAGGACATGGCTGCAGTGACAATACTGTCATCTTAAATGTCAGACATATCTATAGCCAGGTACAGTGTCTCAAGCCTGTAATCCCTCTACTTTGGGAAGCTGAGGCGAGAGGATTGCTTGAGGCCAGGAGTTAAGACACAAACCCAGACAACATAGCAAGACCCATCTCTAAAAAAAATTATTTTTAATTAGCCAGGCATGGTGACGCACACCTATGGTCCCAGCTACTCAGGAGGATGGCTTGACCCCAGGAGTTGGAGGCTGCAGTGAGCTATGATGATGCCACTGTACTCTAGCCTGGGCAACAGAGCAAGACCCTGTCTCTTAAAAAAAAAAAAAAAAAGACGTTATCTGTGTCTGAACCTTGGCTCTGCCTCTGACTTAGATGTGTGACCTCTGAGTGATGAGCATCAACGCATAAGAGGAACGCATGTCCTGGAAAGCTTCCAGAGAGGCTTGAATCAGCTGGTTCAGGTATCACTTCCTAGGCCCATGTACTGTGAGAAAAGCCCAACTTGTACAAGTCCAAGAGTAACTGGCTAGCTAGTCCCACTGTATGAGCTACAAGTAAAGCTGTACTCTTTCTTTCTTTTCTGAAATACCTTCTAAATGATGTAATGTATCCTCCACTGAGGATTAATTAGAAAAATAATCATTTTTAGAGAATAAAAATCACCTGCAATATTTTAAAAAGCAAATGCAGCAAAAGAGACTGGACCCCACAAGAGGATCCGAGCCTGGCTGCTGCCACCGTCCTGCCATTTCAAGCCCTCCCCTGCACCCAATCTGCCCACCCTCCAATCAAAAGGGGAGGACGGACAAAGCCACTCCCTTACACAAATACTTCATGCTCGCTGACTGTGCGAGAGGGAGGACAATGGTTTGGCACCAAATGCAGCCGTTGCAGGGACAGGGTCGAGTGCTCTTTCTCTGATGGCACAAGTGTGGGGCAGCATGACCAAAGGACACGTGTTCGAGAGAGGTCAGAGCGAGCAAGCTGGACAGGAGCATCACATGGCAGGGTCAGCAGCTCTGCTCCCGGCACACGCAGGGGCCAGTGCTTTGCACGGGCCACCGCAGCAGGGAAAACGTGACCCGAGTCAGATATCCAGCTAATCTACACTCTGATGTGGAGAATGAAGGCAGGTGGGTAGGTCCTCCTCAGTGTTCATTCATCCAAAACCCAGTTGCTTAACTGTTTCCTGAGCTTCCCTGCAGAAAGTCATCCTTTTTAAAAGGAAAGGCGAAGAGAGAACAGTGAGGAATCACCGAGAAAACAAGTCGGAGATGGGAATTACCGGTGCTCACTCCACTGCCCAATGCCCAGCTCTCCATTCTTCGCACGTAGTGACATTTCCAGGCTCAGGAACAAGCTGGCAAGTGCCAGCCACCCTGGGAACAACTCTAGTGTACGAGCATTTTTTCCCAACAAATTTAAAGTCTCCATTTCAACTTGTCCTCTTAGAGCCTCCCCTGACAGTTTTTAGTGAAGGAGTGGAGGCTGCTGAGCTCACGGGGAACCAGGAGAAACAGCAGCCGAGGGCGGGGCCAACAGAAACAGTCCCTGAAACACCAGAGTGCTTCAGAACACGCTGCAGTGGGTTTTGACAGATACATCCTTATTTTTTTTTTCAAATTATACATTCTTTTGCATTTTTAGAGTCTCACTTTGTTGCCCAGGCTAGAGTACCGTGGCATCAGCCTAACTCACTGCAACCTCAAACTCCTGGGCTCAAGCATTCCTCCTGCCTCAGCCTCCCGAGTAGCTGGGACTACAGGCATGCGACACCAGCCTGGCTAATTTTTTTCTATATATTTTTAGTTGGCCAATTAATTTATTTCTATTTATAGTAGAGACAGGGTCTCACTCTTGCTCAGGCTAGTTTTGAACTCCTGACCTTGAGCAATCCTACCCCCTCGGCCTCCCAGAGTGCTAGGATTACAAACATGAGCCACCATGCCCGGCAGCTTTTCACAATTTTAAAACAATTAAAATCCTACCTTCTAGTAAAATACTTACACACACGCACATGCACACACACATGTACACACACACACACACACATACACATCTCTATGCCCAGACTATCTCCAGATGAGAGCATAAGAAACCAGGACCCATACAATGATAGGAGATATTTTCAAAATACATTTTTGAAAATGTATAATGTATAATCTTTTTCCCCTTTAATTCTGAGATGAGCCTTTTTTGCCTAATTGCATATTGCTCCCCTAAGAAAAGCCTTTATTTTTTTCACTTGGTGGCTATGACTAGTTAATTTAAATATTAAACATCCTGCTTTCTTTTAAATTCATTGTAAAGCATTCCCTGACATGGGCCTCCGTGAACAGCCCCCAGCTTGCTGACTTCTTCAAATAGCCCCCCCTCCAGAGCCTCCTGGAGCCTGGAGCATGCTGATACCCCCGTGTGCCTTTGTGTCCCTGCTCTGCAATCCCGAGGACAGCCTCTCACAGGGCTTCTTACAGAACTGGACACTTGGGCATGCCACTCCCTCCCACCTCCCACCCACTGGCCCCGGGACAAGCTGTCCCCCCGCGGGAGTTAAGGCAGCTGAGGGCCCAGTGCTGGCCTTCCTCCGCCCACGCACCATGCAGGAGTCTCACAGGCGCCACGGCAGTGTGCAACGGCAGAATGTGCCGTGGCAGGAGGGGGGCAGCCACCACCCAGAAGGGGAAGCATGCCACGCCACCCTCTTCCTGGCCCAGCTGCACACTGGGCACCTACTGTGACATCAGGTGACTCTGCTCTCTGGCCACATCCTCAAGCCTGCCCAGGCCAGCCTTACCCTCCACGGGAAATACTGGTCTTCCAGGCGACCGATTCCCAGGCACCCTCGGATGTTCTTGCCCCACACAAACAGCTCTCCTTTGTCTGCAAAGAGAGGAAAACAGTGGCTTGGTTGGGGCTATGCAAAGATCAAGTCTGCAAGAAGAGGATGGGTCATGAGAACAGGCTTTCTAGAACCAGGTGCAAACAGGGCCCACTGTCAAACTACATTTTTTACCAGGTATTAATGCTTTCTTTTGAAGAGAAAAGTAAGTGTTTTAGACACTTTCCCCATACCAAAAACATGTCCGAGCCCAGGACGTGCACTGTGTCCATGGGATGAGCTCAGGCGTGGAGCTGCAGGCAGAGGTGGCCCCTGCCCCCACCCACAGTCTGACCAGACTGTCCTCCACAAATCCTGGCTACACCCTGCGCTTCCTAAGTTGACAGCAAGAAGTAGGACGATTTGTCATTCCTTCTTTGGGTGTCCACATCTCAGGAGCATTCATTCAAGTGACATCTAGTTCCAGGGAGCCTGTTTGTGCCGGTTCTATGTCTGTGTTCTGGGAGCGGGGACAGGACAATGACTGAACAGACACAGTTCCTGTCCTCATGGGACAAGATCTAGTCAAAGAGCTAGAAAGAGAAAAATGATTAATACATACATGTTTACCAATTGTAAAACGTGTCACGAAGGAAAAAAGACAGAGTGCTGCTCTAAGAGGACAGCCCAGGAGATGGAATCTAGACCAGGGCCCTGGGGGTGCTGCCTCAGGGAGGGCCCAGGCCCTGGGCAGCCTCCAGGCCAGACCCCACCTGCGTGGTACAGGCAGTCCTCAGCACAGAGCCTCATTCACTACCTGCTGTCGGGCAAAAAGCTTGGGTCAAGGGAGGCAGAGGAAGCGACGTGGAGAAGGCAGGTCTACAACAACCTGAGCTGATGAAATAAGGAATCCTCCGTTTCAAGCTGTCACAGCCCTGTGGGTCTGGCCATCCCCGTTGTCCTCCACATTCAAGTCTTACATGTTTAACAGAACAATTTGATGTGGCTCCCCCAAACGTTAGCAGACCACAGAAAGGATAAACAAGCCAAGTCCAATTCCCAGATGGCCCACAGCAAATGCCGGGCACACGGGCCGGGGAGAAACCCAAGTTCTGATGCTCCTTCTACCGAGGGACAGTAATTTACACCTGGAGGGTGGCTGCTGGGTCCTAGGGGAAATCTGGAGAGGGATTTCATTGCAGTGTGACCTGAAATGGCTACGTGGCATGGTAGCAAACAGGGCAGAGTCAACTCTAGTCATATGCTTCACACAGATTTCCAAATAGCTGACTTGGCACGTAGGTTAAGCCTTCAAACATTCTGGAAAATAGATATTTATGGCCCCCAGAATCGGTCCATATGACTCTTATTTGCCAAATTGAAATGCCTTTAAAAAATTTACGAGACCTAGACTCATCTACAAAGGGAAGCAGCTGCTCTGGTTGAGCAGTGGCAGGGAATTCTTCAGCTTCCCTGAAGCTGCTTTACTTCGTGCTTTAATACACTCAGAGTCAGATCAACCCACAACAACCCAGGCTACAGCCGGCTGGTTTTAAGGCCTGGAAATCTGAAATTCAGACAGTAAGTGAATAGCAGTTGGGACCCTAGTATGGAGGGCGGACATCTGGAACTGTCCTCACATAAGCATGAGGCCAGAGAACACAAACAGGGACGACCCAAACTGACTGTCCTGGCCCCGATGTTTACAAAGAAAACAATCACTTGCCATGAGATGAAAAGATTTCTTAATTGCAAGGAAATAACTAATTTGCTTGAGAATAACCAAATGAAATTAACTTAGTACAGTTTTACTACCCAAGTCAACTAAAAGCAGCAAATTGAACCCACAGTAACTGTGGTGGAAGAAGAGATGTAATCAAGAGAAGGCGCACATTCTAGGGGCCTGCAGGGTAACTGGATACTCTGTGGCTTTGTAATTTGGCAAGTCTTTAAGAAAACCTCCATCTCAGCCTTCCTTTTCATCATTCTCTCCCCCAGCACTTTGGAGAAATTGGTAGATTTATCTCCATAAAACCACAGGACAGTCTTACAATCTGCCTCTTGCCATCACATGGCCCTGGGTCAGATCGGGGTTTCTGGCATGGCCAGGCAATGGGATTAAGGGCCACACATTCATTTCCTAACTGCCCACCCGTGGATTCGTGAAACCTCTGCTGGTCTCCTCTAGCACCCTGGCATACTCCAGGTCCCCTCCTCCTGCCACCAGCGGGTACCCTCTTGAGAATCTTCACGTTCACATTAGCCTAACCACAGACCAAATAAACCAAAAGCAAAACTCCAGGATGAAAAAAAAGACATATATTATACAACCTCAAGCCAAACAACTTCTAGACCAGCCACCCTCTTTAATTAACCATACAAAGGCGCTGCTCTGCTGGATGGATGGAAACTGAGAGCTGCCCACACTTTGGGGTTGCAGCTGAGCGAGGGCGCTTCTGCCAGTCCTGCTCTGGGGCTGTCAGGGCTTGGTCACTTACTGGTAAGTGCTGCAAAGTGGCTGAGTCCACATCGAATGCGGGAAACCCGGACTTCTGGGTTGAACTCCGTCAAGCCAAAGAGGGTGGGTGGAATCATTTCTGGAAGAGCAGTTTCCACTAGGTTTGGTCCTTTCCCAAGAATTCCATATCCCCAGACAAAAACATGTCCTTCCCCTACATTACAGGAAAAACAAACGGTCAGTAAGTCAATCCAAAGACAGCCTTCCCTCACCACAAATTCAAACTGCACCACCAATATTCATTATATCCACACAGATTTTTTTTTTTTCTCCTTGCTTGGCAAGAACATGCTGACAGAGATTTAAAATAATTCTTTCTCCCCTGCTTAAATCCTTGCTCGTGGAGTCTGTCTAGCCAGCTAACCAATCTCAGAACACAAACTTCCCACATCTTGAGTGCAACCTGGAAAAGACCAGTCCATAAACTAGCCAGAAAACCCACGTGAACAGAGAACTCGGGAACAGTTTTCTCCCCTCCTGACAGCTTTCAGTTGCACACTGATCAGAAGAGTGAGCCAAACAGATAAATGATTTCTGGAGAGAGTCTTAAAACCCTTAGCAATATTTTTTCAGTTACAAAAAGTTTAATATTCAGCAGTGGTGCCAGACATTTAATCCCAGGGACCCAGATCTCAGTTTCCAAACTCTAAGGCTCCTCTCCCATCTGCCTTTTAGTTCTTGGCTGCAGAAGGCAGAGCTGGAGTCTCTGGCCCAGGCTGAGGTTTGGGGGGGAATAAAGCAGTTCTTTCTCTGCTCCAGAAGTTTGCTGTAGTGTGACTAAGCTCTGTTGCTATCTGTCTACATATAAATCACGGGCTGTTATCTTTCTGTCAAGAATTTCACCCTCACCCTGTGATAGCTGAACTCAATCCAGCTACATCTTCCCGTGGCCACGTTCCCTCCTCTGGGCTGAGGTCTACAGCCTGTGAGCTCAGTGGATGCTGAGCACTCCCCCACCCAATCCACCTACAGCTCCCAGTGAGCTGCCAGAAGAGGGTCTCACCGTTGAGCACAGCACAGCCTGTACCGCCACATGCAGCCTGCTGCACCTTGCCCACTCCTGAGAAGGGTAGGCACCGGGGCACGTTCACCTGAATCAAAGGAAGGGGCCACACTGTGAGGAAAGCAAAGCAGTGAGAACCGGGCAGCATCCGGTTTCATGCACAGAGTAGTAAGTCCAGTCTGTTCCTTCCCTTCACAAGTATTTCCTGGACATCCAGCATATGCTGAGCATCATGCTAGGTGCTGGGGACACAGAAGGAGCGATGTGACCTGGTTTCCACCCCCAGACGGTTCTAGCCTAGCAGAAGAAGCAGACGTCAACCAAAATTACGTGTGTGCTAAAAGCCACAAAGGAAAGTTCAAGGGCCTCTGAGAGTGTGTGATAGAGAACCTGCCAGGTCTGAAGGGAGGAGCAGTCAGGGGAGGCTTCGATGTGTCCTGAGATCTGAAGGGTAAGTAAGAGTTCCCCGGGCTAGGGGAGGTGGGGGACAACCCAGGTAGAGGAGAGGCATGTGTAAAGGAAAAGGGGTAAGCGTGGCCCATTCCGGGAGTTGTAAGGAGGTCAGAGTGGCTGAAGCAGGGGAACAGGGAGGAAAAGGTACAGACACCAGCGGGGACAAGGGAAGCCAGACCACACAGGACAATGCAGGCCACAGTAAGGATTGGTCCTTATCCCAAGCACAGTGGGAAGCCAGTAAGTCTCCAGCAGGGCAGACAGGCTTTCTGGAGTAGAATGTGAGTGGACTAGGGGATAAGCATGAGTTCCCTTTGAACGTACTGAGTGTGCAGCGCCTAGACACAGCCAAGGGAGAGTGTCAGGGCGCTTGGAGATGCCTGGAACTCGGAAGAGAAGGCGGGGATTAAGATATAAGTTGGACAGTTATCAGGAGACAGATGGTCGCTGAAGCAAGCCATGGGAAAAAGGTCTTCCAAAGGTGGAGTACAGAGAAAAGGGAGCAAAGCCCACACCCCGAGCATCTTCACAACCCAGAGGCCTGGCAGGAAAGGAAAATGGAACGAGAGCAAAAGGAACGATGAGAAAGGCAAGAGAGAATGAGAAGAGGGTAGTTCTGTGGGTAAAAGGAAGAGTGTTATTCACAAAGGTGGTCTACATGTCACGGTCAATGGCAAAAGCTGCAGAGAGGTCAAGAAAAACAGATACTGGAAAATGTTCTCCAGATGCTTTGTCATTTTTAGCAACCCTGGCAAAGCCATCCAGCAAACTGATAACGGCAGAAACTAAGCAGGCTGGACTGAAGAATAAACAGGGGACGAGGAAATGAATGTGGTCAGTAAACACAGCTCTGAGAAGTTCGGCTCAGAGGGAGGCAGGAGGTAAGGCAGGACCCGGGGAGAGGAAGGAGTCTAGGTAAGGCTTGCTCAGGGGGAGACACGAGTCAGGTGTAGAGGCTGACTGCGAGGAACCAGCAGAGAGGAAGAGGTTGAAGTGATGAGAGAAGGCCCAACGGGTGGAGTACAGTTTCTGAGAAAGTGGAAGATGGGTCCAGGGCAAAGAGAAAACACTCGGCTTCCAACGGAGCTCCCTGCTCCACAGTTACAGAGGGGGCACGCTCAAGGGGCACAGACACAGGGTGTGCGGGCAACAGAGCCATCCCCCCTGACAGCGTCTGCTTATTACACAGGAGGGAAGATCTGCTGAGAGAGAGATGGGAGGGTCAGAGGCTCGGAGGGGGAAGTGCGGCCAACTGAGCTTCCCAGCAGGACTCGGTCTTGGCACTTCCACTGAGAAATGGCTTTAGAAAGATGGATTTTAAGTGCTTTGGTGACAGCCATGAATCGCTACAGATTCACTTTCAAATGGAGACAGCTGGAGGATAACCACCCCCAAGTTGACCGGAAAGGAACAAAGGGGCTCATTGGCCCAGAAGATGCCTGGACGAAGCAGGGCTGTCAGGGCTGCACTCCAGACTCCGCCGCGGGGCTCTCCGAGAGCCTCTGCCTAGCCGCGCTCCAGCATGGCGCCCTCACACGTGCTGAGACGTGCTCCAGCAAACAGCCATCGGAACTCACTGCTGGAGTCCCTGACGGGATGAGGCTCAGGCCATGACAAAATGGAGAGTGAATCAATTTTTTTAAATAAATAAGTGTAATTTTTAAAAACCCAGACTGTGGCAAAATAGCTCCAGTGATCCCATCTCCTGCTATCACACCCACGTGTAATCCCAACTCTTGTGCGTGCGCTAGATCTGGTGACTTCTAAGGAACAGAATTCCAGCAATAGTGACAACAGGGGATGTCATTTCTGAGATTAAATTATGAAGCACTGGCTTCTGCCTTGCTGGCACCCTCCTGCCCTCTCATTTGCTCGCTCTGGTGATGCCAGCTGCCATGTTGTGTGCTGTCCTGTGGAAAAGCTGTGTGACAAGGAACCGAGGAAGGCCTGGCCGACAGCTATTGGCTGGCCAGCTGCCAGCGAGGAAAGGGGCCCTCGGTCCAACAGTCCACGAGGGCCTGCACCCTGCCAACACCACCAGAGTGAGCTTGGCACAGATCCTTCCTGGCTGAACCCTAAGATGACTGCAGTCCTGAAAAGACTCTGAGCCAAAAGACCCAGCTAAGCCACCCCTAGATCCTGACCCACAGAAACTGTGATGTGATACACTTGTGTTGTTTTAATCCTCTAAGTTTTAGGGTCATGTGTTATGCAGCAATAGACAACAACATGACATCTGATCTGTCCCCCACAGGAAGGCAAGGGGAGACATTTTTCTCAGGCCTTGGTGTCAGGAAGAGCAGTACTTCTGAACACCTTATTTGCTGTTCATCTTACAGAAACAATAAATCACAGATGACCATGATTTCTGCTTTGTAAGAGAACTCAGAGCCAAATCTGCAACCACTTCTAGCCACTGTTCCAGACCATAGAGGAGGCATTTTTTTTCTTATTAGCTGATCTTTAGTTTCCCTTTGTGCAGAGTATCTGTTAATGTATATTTATATTTGATCACATTAAGGAATGTAGTATGTTTCTTAAACCGTCCTTATCTTTTAGAGAGACATACTGAAACTTTTATGAATGAAATATGATGTCTAGGATTTGCTTCAAAATAATCCAGGACAGAGAAGTAGATGGAATTATAGATGCAACAAAACTGGCCATTAGTGGTATGGTGTCTTTTGAAGGAGTGATATAAACAGTCAGGAATTAGATTGTGAGGACAGCTGCACAACTTTGTTTACACTAAACCCACTAAATCGTACACTTTAAAATAGTGAATTGTATCTCCATTAAAAAAATTGGTCATTAGTTGGAAACTGTTGAACATAGGTGATGGATAGAAAGAGATTAGTTATAAAATGATTTCTATTTTTTTATTTGAAATTTTCCTTAATAAAATACTAACGGCCTACTGTACTATACTGATAATGGCTCCATTGGAGAGATGGAGGGGCAGTGATGGGGAGAGGCCACAAAGCAGCGCCGCTAGTGTCCCACCACATGAGCTGGGGGGCACACAGGTGTCTCCATCAAGCTGCACATAGAGGATCTGTGGACTTTTCCAGACATATGTTGTTATACAATGCAACCAAAAGCATGCTGTGACATCATAGGGACTTAGGGAAACAGCCTCCTATTCCTTTTAGGAGACAAGGTACACAGGCACACCTAAAATACAGATCTAAACCAGGTCTCTCTCATCTAAGTATTGACAACAATGGCTTCTGAACACCTAAGCTGTTTTTCAGGCTCCAAGTTCAGGATTGCCAATAACTCGGTACCCTGAAGAGGCTGTTTTACAACAGGTTAGGCCTAAACAGCACTTTACATACTACAGCTCGAAGAACCTGTCACATGCGTCCTTCATACTTTTATGTTTCCCTATTGTAGGTGACCTCATACCTGTGTGGAATCAGTGACAGAAGCCAGCTGCAGGTACTCAGAGTTTCCCCAACCAAAGAGGCCTCCGTCAGCAGACACGGCCAGGCAGCAGTCACCGTAGGTGGCCACCTGGACGATGTTCACTCCCGCAAGGTCTCCACCCAGCTTGGTGGGCACACTGGTGATGTTGTAGTGACCCAGACCTAACGTGGTGGAAAACACTTACTTTTAATTATTCATTCTTTTAACAAACACTTAAATAGACTTCCTATATGCCAACCATAGTTTTAAGCACTGAACAAATATCAACTCAGAAATCCTAATCTGTTCCTCTGCATGCTCACAGAACTTTTTTCTCCATGTTCTCTCAGAGGAGGAAAAAGGATACCATTTTAATTGTATATTTTTAAAACCCTTGGAATTTTCTAGGTCTGATTCAAGTTAAACAGCTTTGCCGTATGAAAAGCCACGACACAATGAATGTATCAGACTTCCACATAAACTACAACAAGCAATTTCTGATGTACGGCTGGGCTTTCTAGAAAATAAAGGAAATCTCGAAGAGCCCATCCAAGCGCCAACACCATGCCTAAGCGGCAGTGCGCTGCCCCAAATGGGTGAGAAGTACACTACCTGTCTGCCCATCGGCACCCCATCCACAAGAATAGACTTCTCCTTTATCCGTCAGGAACAAACTGTGATCCTGACCACAGGCGACCTAGCAGACAAGCAGAGGTAAGTGTGATGACAAGAAATGCTTAGAACCTCAGTGTCCTAGTTAATGGAGCCAAAAGACCAGCACGATTCCCCACCACTCGTGAGTGCCCGGGGAGATGCCCCAGGTAGGCTGCCCAAGTTGCCTTCACATCACGTTGTCTCTCAATCCAACACAGCCTAGCTCTGTCTCCCACTCCACTGAAACTGCTCTTGCTAAAGTAAAGTGCCAGATCTCCTCTGGGGGAAAATCCAAGAGCTCTTCCATTCATCTTCCTCTACCTCTGAGGAACCAGCCCCTCCACAATCCTTCTCCTCCCATCCCTCTCCTCTGCTATCTGGTAGCTCCCAGCCTTGTTCTGAGCTCAGCCTCCGCTTCGTACCCTTCAGTGCTGGGCTCCTTCCCCAAGGTCTATCTCCTGCGCTCCTCTGTCCTCACTGCTCACACTACCCTGGGAGCCTGCACCCATTCCCAAGGCTTCACTTTCACCTCTACACTGCGATCTCCAGCCTCAACAACTCTACTGAGTTTCAGACTTATTTTTCTACCTGTCCAATGAAAAGCTCCATTTACTGAAGACTTATTATGCAGGGCACTGTGCCAAGTCAATAACCAAACCACTGAGGTTTAAGAAACTAAATCTCAGAGAAGTTTGGTAACTTGCCCAAAGTTACTTGGTCCCAAGTGGAGGAGCAGGGACTGGAACTCACATTTGCATTCCTGTAAAGCCTGTGCAAGAGACACCGCACTCTACTGCAGCCTTAGAACCAAACTCATTCTACCTCCCCCTCGCTTTCCACTTCTACCCCCCGCCCTCGCTTTCCACTTGTACCCAAGCCTGTTCCTCTAGAACTCTCCACCCGGGTTAAGAACATGAGCACTCACTCACCATGAGCACCCACTCACATGCCTACTGAGTCCTCCTCAACTCCTTCCCACTCACTCCCTGCCCACCTGGTCCAGCCCACAGCCCATCAATTCCTTCCTTACATGTCTCTCCCATTGGCTCCTTCTCAGCTGGCCCTCATCACCTCCTCCCCTAGCTCTACTCCATACTGTGGCAAATTATCTTTCCAAATGGATCACGATTTGGCTATCAGTCACTCTGCTTAGAACCTTTGACAGCCCCCAACCATCAAAAGATGAATTCTAAACTCCTTAAGACCCTGCAGTGTTCACCCTCAACCTGTCTCCCAGACTATTTCACGCCACTCTGCACAAGCATACCAAACTCCAGCCACACTGCACACCCTCAGCACATCAAAGCCGCAGGCTGCTCCCTCCCCTCTGCCAAAAAACCTTTCCCATCGCCATCACTGGCCTGTCCAGTAAATTCCCCTGCCTCCATGACGCCCTCTCTCCCTTCCATCCCACCCCTGGCAGACCAGACAGGTCCCCTTTTGGTGCTCTCACAGCACTTTCTGTATATATTCATGTGTATTTAAATATGTATTACAAGTACCTAGCATGTGCCACGCACTGCTCTGAGGATAAGAATAAAATAGTGAGCCAGACACAGCCAGCCTAGAACACCCAAATCTTAAGAAACTTTGTATCCCTAGGATCTGGCATAAATCCTGGCCTATAGTAGGCAGGCTATAATTTTTACTGAAATAATTTATTAATTCAGAAAATCACCTAACAAATTTGCCATCATTCCACCCAACTTTAAACATTTCAAAAGCATTCTTAAGGACAGGAAGGGTAACTCTCAGCCCATGTCTCTTACCTGCACCACCTGTCCATCAAAGTCCTGCATTCTGTGGACTTTGTGACTTTCACTACAGCCAGGAGCAGATTGGAGAGAAGCAAGAGATACAGTCATGACCAGCACTGTGCAGTCCTGGGCCCTCCCCTGCCACCCTAACTGGCAGTCCATCCCCACACACACACAATAATTGTCAGGGGAACTGTCAGGGTCAAATCCAAGGCAGAGCTAGGCCTGGGCATGAAAGTGAAACAAAGAAAACAAAATCCTAGGTGGTTTTAATATGCAGCCAAAGTTGAGACTGATGTTCAAACCACTAACATAATAAAAAGAACTAGAGGGAAATTTTCTAAAACACTACAATGGAAAGAACTGAAAGGGAAAAGGGGTTTTTAAAAATTTGATAAAATAAAAAATTAATTCAAAGAAATTCTACACATAAAACCAATCTCATCCACCTCCCTCCCGCCAAGCTAATGCACAGAGCTCAGCCTGGAAAGGAATAGCACCCTCCACGTCTCTCTGCCCAGTCCTCCCTGCTCTGTCTCCAGCATGCCTTGTACCCGTTGGGTTTGCCACGGGTAATCACTCAAGAGATGCTTAGTGGTTAACATGATATGGGGAAGGGGCAGTCCTTTTAAGAACTCACCTATAAATTTCATTTTCAACCACCTTTCTTCCGCATTGCCCATAAGAATTGTTTCCCATGCTGAAGACTAAAAAGAACACCACCAATTAATTAAGCTCTGCAGGTTTGTGGGATTCTAGAATGTCAGGACTATAAGGGGGTCTCTACAGTGGTCCTAGTCAGCTCACCCTAAGTGCCCCTCAGTTTCCTTTTCCAATATGCCCAGCCTCTGCGGGCACACCCACAGGCATGTGGGGACCCAGACTCACCTCCCCCCATACCCTAGTTCTGCCTCTTGGGAACTGCCCATGTGAGATTAGCACCCTATTCTCTGCACCTGTCACTAGGTTCCCCTCAATGTCTAATTCCTTCTTGAAAGAGCTCCTAAACACCACCTTTTCCTACAGAGCACACTTAGCCAGAAAATGAAATTTGAAAAATGTAGTCTCCTCTAGAGAGGTTGTTACCCAGGAGCCTGGACTCTGAAAGCCCCCCACCACTTCTTGGGAAAAGTGTGAGCAATGAGGCTTCTTTCGGTACCAGGCAAAAAAGACATCTATCCACACAGCCCAGCTCAGTCACTTCATAACAAAGGGAGCTGGCCCTGATAAGCTGCCTTGTGTGCACTGTCACATGTATAAGCCCTGTGATTTTCCAAGAACTGCAGAGTACAGAGCACATGAGAGCTGGCAAGGTCTGTCCAATACAGCTCTCTTGAGCAATCCTACAGGTCTGCTCGGGAAATGCTCAGTTTCACTAATTAGATGTGGCTCAGTTAACAAGCCACTCAGGCCTGACCGCAAGGCTCCGTTTCACAATGAAATGGTACCCCGACTCCTCCACAGACCTTCAACAGGGCAACTCACCTCCTTCGCTGTCTGTCAGGACGAGAGAGTGTGCTCTGCCACAGGACACCTGCAGCACCTGTGTTTCCTGAGGTCTGTCCAGAGGCAGTGGGATGGGCGAGGGCTCCAAAACATACTCGTAGCCCCTGGCTGAACAAAGCACACAGCACTGAGTATCAGAGCATTTCTAACATTAGAAATCCTAGTGTCAGCCCACACTGTCACACAGGAAGAGAGAGAGTAGGAAAGACTTACTCAAGGTATGTAGTTAGAGGCAGAGCCCGGCCCAGAAGCCCAACTCCCAGCCCACTGCACCACACTGCCTCGATGGCACAAAGTGGGTTACTGACAAGCATGCTTAGTCCTTTTTAAAGAAATCTCTTTTTTTTTTTTTTTTTTTTTGAGACAGAGTCTCGCTTTGTTGCCCAGGCTAGAGTGAGTGCCGTGGCGTCAGCCTAGCTCACAGCAACCTCAAACTCCTGGGCTCAAGCGATCCTGCTGCCTCAGCCTCCTGAATAGCTGGGACTACAGGCATGCGCCACCATGCCCGGCTAATTTTTTCTCTATATATATATTAGTTGGCCAATTAATTTATTTCTATTTATAGTAGAGATGGGGTCTCGCTCTTGCTCAGGCTGGTTTCGAACTCCTGGCCTCGAGCAATCCTCCTGCCTCGGCCTCCCAGAGTGCCAGGATTACAGGCGTGAGCCACCGTGCTCAGCCTAAAGAAATCTCTTTACATGTCACTTACTATTACTTGAATTTTTAAGAAAGGGAAAAGCATTTTCCTCCAACACCCACTAAAATTTCTTAGTAAGGTGAAGAACAGTAATACTGTATGATACCACTTATATAAAAAGGAGGCAAAAAAATATGCATTATACATAAATTAATATGCTTGCATATGCACTAGATCTTTCTGGAAGGATCAACTGGAAGCATTAACACAGGCTGTCTCCAGGGAGAAAAACTGTATGGCTGGGAGGATAGAGGTAGAAAACAGACTTTTCACCATATATTCTACCTCACCTTTAGGATTCTGAACTATGCAAATATATTCTCTACTCACACCTTTAGTATTCTGAACTATGCAAATATATTCTCTATTCAAAAAGGGAAATTAAATTTTAAATATTAAGTAGGCAAGTAAAGGGAAGAACTTTTTAAACTCACTCTAAAGGAGAATTTTAGGGCCAGACAATGGTGGCTCACACCTGTAATCCTGGCACTTTGAAAAGCTGAGGTGGGGCCGGGCGTGGTGGCTCAAGCCTGTGAATCCTAGCACTCTGGAGGCCGAGGCGGCGGATTGCGCGAGGTCAGGAGTTCGAAACCATGCCTGAGCAAGACAAGACCCCATCTCTACTATAAATAGAAAGAAATTAATGGCCCCAAACTTGATATATATTAAAATACGGGCGTGGGGCACATGCCTGTAGTCCAGCTAATCAGGAGGCTGAGGCAGCAGGATTGCTTGAGCCCAGGAGTTTGAGGGTTGCTGTGGCTAAGGCTGACGCCACGGGCACTCACTCTAAAGGAGAATTTTAGGGCCAGACATGGTGGCTCACACCTGTAATCCTGGCACTTTGAAAAGCTGAGGTGGGAGGATCCCTCAAGGCCAGGAGTTTGAGACCAGCCTGGGCAACACAGTGAGACCCCATCTCTACAAAAATTAAATTAGCCAGGCGTGGTGGATCCCGCCTATAGTCCCAGCTTCTCAGGAGGCTGAGGCAGGAGGATCACTTGAACACAGGAGTTTGAGATTGCAGTCAGCTATGATGATGCCATTGCACTCTACCTGGGGTGACAGAGCAAGACTCTGTCTCAAAAAAAAAGTATGAAAAAGGTAATGTGGATTCTTCCAGCCAATAAAGACTTCAATACTGACTTATAAAAGATATTTCTGATATACACATAAAATAAGTGAAAAGAAGCAAAAAAAAAAATATATGCTATAATCAAAATTATGGAAAAATATATTTTGCATGAGCAGGGAATAGAAAAAAATTAAAAGAAAGGTTTGTCCATTGAAGTTCTTACTCAAGGGGGGGAGGGAAAGCATAGGCAATATATGTAACCTTAACACTTGTACCCCCATAATACGCTAAAATAAAAAAATAAATAAAGGTTTGCCCAGTATTTCTGAGTAAATTCCCCCTTATTTTAGGAAATATTCCGTATTGTTCTTGTAGTACTGTTTGGCAAATGTCTACTTATTTAAATGCCATTGTAAGTTATTTGTAACATTTTTACAATCCAAGTTTCAAACATTTGGAATAAAGTTTCCATCTTAAAGATTTCATTGAATTTTTCTCCCAAAACATATTCTAGGCACTGTAGAATATTTCAGGCCATCACCATGGTAGGAAAAAGAGGTTATCTCTTTTGGGCCAAAAAGGAACATCTTAACAGCCAGGTGCTTGCTCTTTTGTGTGATGGTTCAATATTGTTACCAAAGAGGCCAAAAAATAATCTAGTCCAGATTGTTTCAAATGACATCCCTCTAAGACTCCATCTATTTTGTTGTTATGGTTGGCTTATGTAATCATGTCCTTGAGAACCAAAGAGAGCTTCCTCAGACTGATCACAACAGAGAAGGCGGATGAAGGTGCTCACTTGTATCTTTCCGGCTCCTGTGAAATCCAAGCTGAGAATCTTTATTGAGTCCCATACCCCAGACTTTCGTAACATCCTTGGTTTTAGAGGACAGCAATGTGAATCCATAGCCACAGGCAGCAGATGAAATCTGAAAAAGTTCCCATAAGCCATTAACTGACTTGTTAAGCTTTTTCAGCTATACATGACAGGTTATTTACCAAGTCTAAGAACACATACTATTAATATAGCAACTAATATGCACTAAATATTTATTATGTGTTTGAGATGTTTTATTTCATTTAATCTTTTTTTTTTTTTTTTTTTTTTTTTTTGCCCAGGCTAGAGTGAGTGCCGTGGCGTCAGCCTAGCTCACAGCAACCTCAAACTCCTGGGCTCGAGCGATCCTTCTGCCTCAGCCTCCCGGGTAGCTGGGACTACAGGCATGCGCCACCATGCCCGGCTAATTTTTTATATATATATCAGTTGGCCAATTAATTTCTTTGTATTTATAGTAGAGACGGGGTCTCACTCTTGCTCAGGCTGGTTTTGAACTCCTGACCTTGAGCAATCCGCCCGCCTCGGCCTCCCAAGAGCTAGGATTACAGGCGTGAGCCACAGCGCCCGGCCTTATTTCATTTAATCTTTATGATCACTTTTACGAAGTGTGATTTATGTGCAGGTCAAAATCTACCTCTAATGGTAAATGCCAGCTTCCCACTAGATATCATCGTCCCCACTCACCAAGATACGGTCTAGCACAGTAGTTTGAATCCTGGCTCCACCCCTTACCAGCCGTGTGACCTCAGATAAGATCGCTTTACTTCTCTGTATCTGTTTCCCTCTCTATAAAGTGGAGATGATAACAGCATCTCACTGAGTTGCTATAAAGACTATAATATAGCTAAAGCCCTTACAGTCAATTGTACCTAACTTCATGTAAGAGCATATAATGTATTTATTATTGTTGTTAGTAGTCGCAATATATGGTGGATGAGGAAAGGGAGACTCCTAGAGGTTAAGTAACTTGCCTTTCACTCTTAGCTACACTGTTACATTCTCAAGCCATTACCAAGAAAAGGAAGAATCAGTATTACAGCTACTGATTAGCCTCGGTCGTTGTTGGGTGTTTTAACCAGGCTCTCTTCACCTTCACTGACCAGATGAGAAAACTGGCGCTTCCAGTGGGGCTGGACACAAACCAAAGGTGGTTTGATTTTAAAATCACCTCTTTCCATACTATCCAGAGTGATCATATTCCCAGTTGGCATGGGACAGCCCTGGTTTACCCCTGATGTCCCAACATTCACTCTTAAGTTGGACAACACATTATATGGTCACCCTAACTATCTCTCATCTGCTTATGGTCTATCAGAGGCCTTTGCAGTCTCTCTCAGGGACCATATGCAAATCTAACCTAAACTTGAAGAAACTGCTGGCTTACTACACTGATCATGAACAAACATGAGGAACTTTTTTTCACCTTCCAGCATTTCTTGAAGAAAACTAGCTAAATATTTCTTTAAATTTTGATTTATTGACAGCTTGTTTAATTGAGTCATCCAAGAGTAATATTTCCCTCCTTTTGCCTTGTGATATTTTCCTTCATAACATTCATATGGAACATAGAAGCCTGCAGCTTTATGCTAGTCAAACACCTCAGTTCTCTGGTCTCCTGGACTCCCCACCCACCCGCTTTCTGGAATGGTTCAACTCCACAGAAATGACCTACGTGGGAGACAGGAGACACCCCCTGCCCAGGCAGCAGGAAACACAGAAAAGAGGGAAGTCTAAAAATGATGTCCAGCAACTATGATTATTCTCATTGCTTGGTGATGCCTGTTTATTTAACATTCAACAAACACCTGGTGAGCCCCTACTGTATCATAAAAGCTGCTAGAATGTGAAAAGTCTTGGAACAATTCCTGACACAGAGTTAGCATCAAGTGCTTGTGATGACAACGTGTCTGGAGGGCACTTCCAACTGTGGTGGTATGAAGAGGTTAGCTAATCTCTCCCCACCCCCAAAAAAAGATAAGAGTACAACTGGACAAAATTGAAAAACAAAAACAAAAACAAGAACCCACAACTATTTCAGGGCTCTGAAAATCAATCAAAGGTAAATAAACCGAGAAGAAATGTTTACTCATGAAAAACTGTTGCACTGCTAGAACTTCAAGTATGAATAGCAGGAGTCTGCAGACTTCTTGTCTAGGACTGTTCTACCTATTGCTTTGGTGGAGGGTGAAACCCATGCCCAGCAGCAAATTCAATATGAAACAAACAAGAAAAACCTACAACTTGGTGAGCCCGAGGTTGCCATCCTGATTAGGCAAGAGGAGTCAGGCCTGCCAGAAATGTAACTGGGAGAGCCTAGAAATGAGAGAACCATCAAAGATTCCCACATATCCATGGGTTACTGGGAAACTACCCAAATGAACAGGGCAGACCAGAGCACCCTGTGGAGAGTAAAGCTAGGCCAGGCTTGAGAATTCTGTCACTGCCAAGAGTTAACATTTCCTTTCCAAGTTGTTCATCCACTAAAGCCAGCCCACGTTTTCTCTGAACTTCCAAATTCTGCTTTCTGGACATAAGAACTTCTGGAGTCAGACTGGCCCGAGTACAAATCCCACTGTATATACACCTATCAGCTGTGGGGACTTGGGTCTTAACCTCTCTGAGCCTCCCTTTCCTCCCCTATAACAGGGGATGACAACCCCTACTTACAAAGTGCTGAGCGAATGACACGAGCCGGGCACACCACCTGGCACGTTTCAGTCACCCCATAAATGTTGACAGCCGTCTCTAACACCTTCCCCTCCTGGGCTCACAGTTAACTAGAGGAGCATCCTCGCCAAAGTATGGCCACCCACTGTAGACAACTTCTCAAAGAGGGCCGATGACTTCGGGGGTGGGAGGGATAGTGGCGGACACGAGGGAGTCGAAGAGAGAGAGGGAGGGAGAAAGCCGCGGCCCGCACCTTTTGGTCCAGCTCCAGCCGGTAGGGCACAGGCTGGATCCTGCGGTACGACCGCCGGCCGGCGCGAGTCTTGGGCCCGGAGCCCGGCAACACGAAGGTGGGCACGCCCAGCGCCCCCGAGAAGCTGAAGCCCCACACGAAGATGCGGTCCACACGGGCGGCACGCTCGCCCACGTACTGGAACACGGGCGCGTCCGCCTCGGCCTCCGCCGCCTCGCGCCGGCTCCGGGAGCGCTGGGCCGGCGTCCAGTGCGCTCGCACCAGCCTCGGCCAACTCAGCCGCCGCCCGAGCCGAACCCCAGCCGCCAGCGCCATCCTCCGCTTCACGCCTCAGCAGCTCCTGGACGCCGCCATCTTGCGTGACCCCTGACCCCCACGCCCCGGCGGAAGCGCCGACGGCCACAGCCACGTTTACTACTGGCTGAAGGCAAAGACGCTAAGGGCAGCGCACGGCTCAGGGAGGCGGGGCCGAGCAGCTGGGATCCCAGTCCATCTTCGAAACGGGTGTGGTGCTCTCCACTATCCAGTTTCTGTCCCTTGCCTCACTGGTTCATACTGGATGTACCGTGCAGCCGGGAACAGGAGGCCTTCAGGAACAAGTGACCCGGGCTCTAGGCCCGGCTCTACGATTGACTGGCCTGGCGGCGTTTGGAAGTTGTCTCCCTTCTCTGGATCTCACCTCTGAAAAAAGGGGGTTAAAAAAAAATCAATGCATAAAATGAATTTTTTATAAAAGGAGGGGTTTGGACCTTGTGGCCTACAGGATCCCTCGGGGCAGCCAATTACGATCCGTGACAAGGTTCCCAAATACTGTCCCCAGTGCTGAGGGCAAACTCCTTCCTCCCCTGCTTCCTTTTTCTTGCTCTCGTTATATTGCTTAACACCTGGAGGAAAACTAACCCTGTGTTAATCTGCCCCCAAGACCAGTGCAAATTATTTTGTCTTCCTGGAATGTATCCAGTCTGTGAAACGTTTTTTTTTTCCGTCCTGGGGTGAAGTGTGATTGAGGTTTTACCATCCTGTGGGGCTGTTTTATAGAGGGTGGTTGGGGGAAACCCCTTGCTAAGATGTGGCCATGAGACTGCTCCTAAAGGCCTCCAGCTACCAGGGTGTAATTCACCAAGGCTCTGAAACCACCATGAAATCCTGTTTGCACTGTGGTCATGCTTCCCTTGGGCCATTCCCAATACTGAGCCAGGCAGGGATAGACCCTGAGGCAAACCAGTTCCTGGGAGACATGGACTCCTCTGATGGCCACCTGTGGCTCGAGGATGCCCCACTGGCCTTGCCAAACCTTCCTTAGACTAGAATAGGACGCTTTTAACACTAGGGCATTAGTCTAGGACACTTTTACCCAACCCTCCCTCCCTCTCTCCCTCACTTAGGGTCAGACTTGCATGGTGGCCCAATGGCTTTCCCAGCTTTTTCAGGCATCCTCATTTTCTCTTACAGAGGCATTTCCCCTAATAAAAATCCTTGCCTATTTAATTCTGTCTTGGTGTCTTCCTCTCAGAAGACACAAACTAACATATAAAGTAACAGCTGAGCCAGAAGCATGAAGCAATAAGAGAGGGAGCTGTTAGTGGCCTCTGAGTGGAATTTTTTCCCCAAAATTCTTAGTGATTGTCAGGAAGAGAATTTCTGGATGCACCACGTAAGCCAAGCCAGCAACAGCTTTTTATTGAAAGCAAATGTACACTTTAAGGAGAGTGAACGGGCAGGATTGTAAAAGAGGAGCTACACTGGGAAGAAGTGATTTTAGATCTTATGTAGTTTTGCTAATTGAGGGGAAGACTATTCAAGACCAAGGGGTTGGCTTTTACTAAGAATTTAGGTAATAATTCCTAGAATTGTGTTTCCCACCATTTTCATACTTTGTATGGTTGTCTCAGAACTGTCATGGTGATTTCAAGGGTAGAGAAATTTTTAAACTGAAATGTAAATGATATTGTAATTAGCCAAAGTTAATGTAACAGAGATAGCTGACAAGCTGGTTGAAGCTGGTTCTTGCCTGTGGTTATCAGCCCCCCTAGTTAGCTTCTGCTTGAAGGTTGTTTACCTTAACACCTGCACCCATTCTGCAAGCCCTGGCATCCAGTCCCAGCCCTGTCTCCTACTCTAACAGAGCCATTTAGACATGCCAGGGAGTGTCCTAGACAAATGGGTACAACAAGTACAAAGGCCCATAGGTGAGAGACTACTTGAGCATGTGTGCCACAAACTGACCCAAGCAACTTAAACTATTCCAAAATAGTCCTGCATAACTCTTTGGTTGCTTTTGGTGCAAGATGATAGACACACACAAACACACACACAAAACATTGCTTTGGTAATCATTAGGAAGCAGGAATAAAACAATTCACAAAAGCTATTCTGTAAACCCAGTAAAGTCCCAGCTCTCTGTCCTTTTAGACACACCAACCAGCACAAAATTGTTTCTCAAGACAAATAGAATGTTCCAGAAGCAGGATTATTTTTCCCTTTTAACAGCAGTTGGTATTTGTCTTGACAGAAGTGTTGGGGGTCAAACCTCAAGTGCCATCTCTAAAGTAAAGGCTTCACTGGATCCTCACACCCTGCTCATGCAAGAAAGGGAATAGCTCAAAAATCTGCCTTCCAAACAACTACCAGTACTTACACAGACAAAAGCCCATTTCTCACATCCTCCAATACCAAGCGTGTCAAGTATCAGTTCATTGCCTCCCAGCTCCAGACCCACTCTTCAATGGCTGCTCCGCTAACAAAAGGGCTCTTTAACTACTTTTTCTGGAGAAACTACCAGGAGGAAGCACTTTCTCCCTGGCTCCAGGTGCTTCTGTTTCTAAGGCCCTACAGGAATTAGTAACTGGCAGCTCAGAGCAGCCAACAGCCCCCTTGAGTATTTTCATAGCAGAATGCCTCCAATGAGCCACCTCCTTGTGAATTACTTTCCTTAGCTCCCTAAAGCATGGATTTCTGGAAAGTTCCAGAGTGCCCAATTTCATTGAGTTCTGCCAGCACCACAGTGACTTCTCTACCATCCAGCAAGCCATGGCTGTGCCTCTTCCAGCAAAGTTTGGATCTCAGTCTGGAGTAGCCTCTTCCTTGGCCACCCTACCTCAGCCCCAGGGGTGGTGCCTGCCCCTTAGATGTGCTATTCCTACATTCTTTTTTTTTTTTTTTTTTTTTCTGTTGCCCAGGCTAGAGTGAGTGCCGTGGCGTCAGCCTAGCTCACAGCAACCTCAAACTCCTGGCTCAAGCAATCCTCCTGCCTCAGCCTCCCAAGTAGCTGGGACTACAGGCATTCGCCACCATGCCTGGCTAATTTTTTTTTGTATATATTAGTTGGCCAATTAATTTCTTTCTATTTATAGTAGAGACGGGGTCTCGCTGTTGCTCAGGCTGGTTTCGAACTCCTGACCTCGAGCAATCCGCCCGCCTCGGCCTCCCAGAGAGCTAGGATTACAGGCGTGAGCCACCGCGCCCGGCCTATTCCTACATTCTTTAAAATTCTCTTTACTTTTAACCCATCAATTCCCTGTTATCACTAATAACTCTTAAAATTATACTTTCCCTGTTTAAATTACTGGATGGTTCCTTTCTCCTCATTGGACACTGACTGATACACTGATAATTAACAAGCCACTGATTTTACCAAAGCCATTTGTAATGCTCATTAAGCATTAGCTTAATAAGCTAATGCTTAGCACATCCTCCAATGTTGGTGGAAAGAGAAATGGCTGCAGGAGTTGGGGCTGAGTGAGGAGGTTGGAAAGACAGAAGAGGAAGGGTGACCAGGTCATCTTCTAGCCATTGCAAAGTTTCTGGCTTTTACTGCAATGTGTGAATCTGTAATTGTGTATCAGAGTAGGCACATTTAGTGCCGTCAACACATCCTCTTGGCCTTGTCTCTGCTATGGCTGGGATGAACTCCCTTCAGGGGAACACACACTTCAAGTTTCTTGTCCCATGTGCCTGTCAAGCATTTTTAAATTTTTACCAAAAAGCTCCCCAGATTCCTCAGACACAGAGAGGAGCTCGTGGGGCCTGGCCACACATGCAACTTGGCACTAAGGAGGTCTCAGAATCCCAAGAGGTGACCCTGAACCAATGGAGGCAGGAGACAATGGATAATGTTACCACCATGGCCCATTCAGGGAGACCCTCTGTCTGCTTCTTAGCAGTCCTGGCAGGACCAGGACCCTCTGACCACAGTGGCCACCCCAGGATTGGCTTTTAGATTGGCTTTTAGATTGGCTTTTCCTCCTTTCCTGCCTAGCTCTTCCCATTCCCTCGCTGCTAGGATCCTAGGGAACTAGGATCACCTCCCATATAAACCACAGGGCACAAAGCCTCACCTAAGGCTCCGTTTTGGGGAGAACACAAGCTAAAGCAGTTGGCACCAGAAGTGCGGTGGTGACAACCCTGGCTTTTGCAGCCTCACAATTGCTAAGGCTCTTACCTGTGGTGGCAGAATGACATACAGCACTTGGTTAGGCTGCATATCCATCATGTGAATAGTAGGGGGTCTGTAGCCATTGCAAGATTTGTGGAGTTGCCTGGCTTATTAAACATGTAGGAAGCCTTGAAGAAAGATGACAACAGGTTCAGGTCAGCCAGCCCTTCACTCAGGGCATGCTTCAAAAACCAGCAGGCCTCCAGGATGTGTTTAAAGACTTTCATCTCCTATAACCTTAGAGGAGCCGCATGCTGGGCTTCATCGTAAGGGTGACAGAACAAAGGAGACTGCACCTTGACAGGTTCCCTGTGCTAAAGGCAGGCCCTGACAGTGAAGGAGTGGGACTCTGAGATTGGGATGGGGCATTTGGGACCATTCACCTGAGAACATTATCACGCAGACTCCCGGAAGTGGCCCCCTCTCCCCCGATGTAGGAGAGCAGGTCTGTTTCAGTTGATAAAGCTGAAATATATATTGATAAAGGAGAATCATATAGATATTATAGTAAAGTTGTAGAATATTTATATATTTATAAAATGTGTATGCAGTTTTCAACTGCCCTTTCATAAGCAGGACTGTCCTTTCTTCTGAGTTTATGGCCTTTCTAGTATTTTGGCTTTGATCAATGTCTGTTCTTTTACAAACTAGTAATAACAATAGCAGGCTGTTGGCCAGGTGCGGTGGGTGGCTCATGCCTATAATCCTAGCACTCTGGGAGGCCGAGGCGGGCGGATTGTTTGAGCTCAGGAGTTCGAGTTCAGCCTGAGCAAGAGCGAGACACCAAATCTACTAAAATTGGAAAGAAATTAATTGGCCAACTAAAAATATATAGAAAAAATTAGCCGGGCATGGTGGTGCATGCCTGTAGTCCCAGCTACTCGGGAGGCTGAGGCAGGAGGATAGCTTGAGCCCAGGAGTTTGAGGTTGCTGTGAGCTAGGCTGATGCCACGGCACTCACTCTAGCCTGAGCAACAAAGTAAGACTCTGTCTCAAAAAAAAAAAAAAAAGCGGGTTGTTAAAAAATCCTTACTCAAGAGTCATATTTAATGTTAAATATATATATATATATATCTTGTCAAAATTTAAAAATGAATAAGGCTATGTGGGTCTCTTAAATTTCTAAAACATTTTGCTTTTAAGGGATACCCAAAAGACAGAAGCTCTGCTTTTAAGATTTTGATTTTGGGGAAAAAAACAAACATTGCAATGTGAAATAAAGCCACTAGGTGGCAGTGCTTGCCCATCAATTTTGTAGCTCCTATTCACAGAGAAAAGGGATAAAACAGCCTAAAAGTCAATTTTAACCAAGGAAGAGTTGGATGTATAGTCACAAGTGGGCTCTTATATTTTACTACCAAAGTCTGGTTGGCTTTATAGACTGGTTCTATGCTAGAATATATTTGCATTTTTGTCTAGATTTTTGCTTGAAAAAGATGGTCCTGGCCAGGCACGGTGGCTCATGCCTGTAATCCCAGCACTCTGGGAGGCCAAGGTGGAAGGATCACTTGAGCCCAGGAATTTGAGGTTGTAGTGAGCTATCATGACACCACTGACACCACTGCACTGTAGCCCAGGGCAACAGAGACTCTGTTTTAAAAAATAAATTAAAAAAAGATGGTCCTACAGCAAAATATCAGCTATCCCAAAGTATCAAAATATCTGCTTATGTTAGTCAAGCTGAATTTCCTCACCACCTAAAATGATGTTTTTGTGTAGATATTCTAATTTCTTTTACACTTTGAGGTAGCTGAAATTCTCTAGTCTGAGAAACAGTGAACTTAGCCTTATATGTTTTTATTATTATCTTGCAGTCCCTTGTAAAAAAATAAACATTATATGTGAGTAAGGCTAAAGACTCCTTTAACTACAGCTCCACATACATATCTTGCCATGGAAAAAATATTTTATTTGTGTAGTGTGTGTTTAAAGAACATGGTATAATATAGATCACAGTCTGCTACTTCTTTTCACTGAAAACTGTCGTGAAAAGGCTTTTATAAGTTTGGACCTATCTCATTCTTTTTCATTGTTGCATATTAATATGAATTAATGACATCTTATTTAATAATTCCTCTTTTGGGGGACATTTGGAGCGTTTTCTTTTTTCTTTTTTGGGGGGGAGGTCAGGGTCTCTGATTTGTCGTCCCAGCTAGAGTGCAGTGGTAACATCATAGCTCACTGCAACCTCAAACTCCTGGGTTCAAGTGATCCTCCTTCCTCAGCCTCTTGAGTAGCTGAGCTTATAGGCACACGCTACCACACCTAGCTGATTTTTAAAAATTTTTGTAGACATGGGTTTTTGCTATGTTGCCCAGGCTGGTTTCAAACTCCTGAGCTCAAGTGATCCTCCTGTCTCAGCCTCCTGAGTAACTGGGACTACAAGCATGCACCACCACACCTGGATAATTTTCTATTTTTTGTTGAGACGGAGTCTTGCTCTTGCTCAGGCTGGTCTTGAACTCTTGAACTCCTGACCTCAAGTGATCCTCCTGCCTCAATCTCCCAGAGTGCTAGGATTACAAGTGTGAGCCACCACAATCAGCCAGCATTACCTTTCTGTGTCTTGTTTAGGAAGACTGTCTATTGCCCAAGATATAAAGATATTCTATAATATTTGTAAAACATTTAATCTAATACTTTCACTTTTGATATTCAGATTTAGAGTTGGCTTTTATGAATGGTTATCAAGCCAGGCTGTATATTTATTGACATTTTTTCCAAATGGATATCTGATTGTTCCAAAATAATTTATTTGCAAGTATAGACTCTATCTGAAGATTTGAAATGTCACTAATAACATATGATAAATTTCCATAAATACATGGGTCAATTTTCTACAGTTTCTACTGCTCTATTCTTATATTAATATGACAGGGTTTCAACTGCTACAGCTTTATTTATAATATGCTCCGATTTTCATTCAATCAAATCTTTTCTTTGTTATTCTCTATTCTTTTACAAAATTGCTTTTGCTATTCACAACATTTACTTCCATAAGAATTTTAAAATCATCTTGTCAAGCTGCATTAAAAATCCCACTGGGATTCTGATTGAAATTACATAAAATTTATGAGTTAATTGAGAGAAATTAACTAGGAGAAATCACATTTTACCATCTTGAGTATTCCCATCCATAAATATGATATGCTCTAATATTACCCTTGGTTTCAGTCATCTGCTTGAAGGAATCCAGCACTTTGCTTGTAGATAAATTATTTCCATTTTCTGAAAACATTCATCTTTCAACTTTTTAGAGCAATGGTCTCCAAATTATTTTGATTATATATCCTAGGGTAAAATTGTAAAAAAAAATATATATATATATATATATATACACACACACACTATTTACACACATTATGATATTAATACTAATATGTACTTTATAAAATATACAAATAATAAGATAAAGATTAGGCCAGGTGTGGTGGCTCACGCCTGTAATCCTAGCACTCTGGGAGGCAGGCGGATTGCTTGAGGTCAGGAGTTCGAAACCAGCCTGAGCAAGAGCGAGACCCCGTCTCTTCTATAAACAGAAAGAAATTAATTGGCCAACTAATATATATAGAAAAAATTAGCTGGGCATAGTGGCACATGCCTGTAGTCCCAGCTACTTGGGAGGCTGAGGCAGGAGGATTGCTTGAGCCCAGGAATTTGAGGTTGCTGTGAGCTAGGCTGACACCACGGCACTCACTCTAGCCTGGGCAACAAAATGAGACTCTGTCTCAAAAAAAAAAAAAAAGATAAATATTAAATAAACAGTAGTTTTAAAGCAAATATTTTATTTTTGTTTTTAATCCATTTGCTCTCATTAAAAACAGTAATGGTTAGGAAAATAGTACTAATAAGATCATTTTCATGAGAGAAATATGAATGAATATGTTTAAATTCAAGTAGTTTAAATATTTCATGATAGAGATATGTAAAAGGCTGAATTTTTAATCGACCTGGGAACATAATTTATGTATACTAAACCACATTCATTTAAAGTGTACAGTTGGGATGAGTTTTTTAAAATGCACTCATCTGTGTGAATGGAGACATAGCATACATAATTCCATCACCCCCAAAAGTGTCCTCATGTCTTTGCAATCCATTATTTTCTTCATTCTCACTGCTAGGAATGTTTTTTTTTTCCTTTTTGAGACAGAGTCTCCCTCTGTTGCCTGGGCTAGAGTGCTGTGGTATCAGCCTAGCTCACAACAACCTCAAACTCCTGGGCTCAAGCAATCCTCCTGCCGCGCCCCCCAGAGTGCTTGGATTACAGGTGTGAGCCACCATGCCTGGCTAATTGTTTCTATATATTTTTTAGTTGTCCAGCTAATTTCTTTCTATTTTTAGTAGAGATGGGGTCACGCTCTTGCTCAGGCTGGTCTCAAACTTCTGAGCTGAAACAATCCACCCGCTTTGGCCTCCCAAAGTGCTAGAATTACAGGCATGAGCCACCTCGCCTGGCCATTTTAACAACTTTAAGTGTACAATTCAATAGAATTAATTGCATTCACAGTGTTGTGCAACTATCACCAGTATGTATTTCTAAAACTTTTTACCCCTAGCAGACACTCCATAACCATTAAGCGATCACTCCCATTCTCCCCTCCTACTCAGCTGCTGGTAACCTCTAATCTACTTTCTGTCTCCATGTACCTTCCTTGCCTATTCTAAGTACCTCACATAAGTGGAATTGTACAATTTTTGTTCCTCTTATGTCTAGATTAGTTCACATAACATAATGTCTTCAAGGTCCATTCATATTGTAGTATGAGGGAGAACTTCGGTACTTTTTATGACTGAAGAATCTCCCATCGTACGTATCTTTTGTTTATCCATATTTTGTTTATCTTTCAATTGTTTGTGGACACTTGGGTTGTTCCCCTTCTGGCTATTGTGAAGAATGCTGAAGAGCTTTGGTGTAAAAGTATCCGAGTCCTCGCTTTCAGTTCCTTAGGAGTGGAATTGCTGGATCATATGATAATTCCATGTTTAGTGGGTTTTTTTTTTGTTGTTGTTGTTGTTGTTTTTGAAGAATTGAGGTCTCATTCTGTCGCTGAGGCTAGAGTTCAGTGGCATCATCACAGCTTACTGCAACTTCCAACTCCTGGGCTCAAAGGATCTTCCTGCCTCAGCCTCCCCAGTAGCTGGGACTATTGGCACACCTGGCTAACTTTTTAAATTTTTTGTAGAAACAGTCTCGATATGTTGCCCAAGCTGGTCTCACCCAGCCCTTATCCTTTTAATGTTTGTAGAATCTGTAGTGATTTCACCTATTTATTCCTGATATTGGCAGGTTGTGTCTTCTCTCTCTGCTTTTCTGACCAGTCTGGCTAGAAGTTTATCGGTTTCATAAATCTTCCCACAAAAATAACTATGGGTTCATTGATTTTTCTCTATTGTTTTTCTGGGTTTTGTTTGTTTGTTTGTTTGTTTTTTGAGACAGAGTCTCACTCTGTAGCCTGGGCTAGAGTGCTGTGGCATCAGCCTAGCTCACAGCAACCTCAAATTCCTGGGCTCAAGCAATCGTTCTGCCTCAGCCTCCCAAGTAGCTGGGACTACAGGCATGCGCCACCATGCCCAGCTAATTTTTCTGCATATTTTTAGTTGGCCAATTAATTTCTTTCTATTTATAGTAGAGACAGGGTCTCGCTCTTGCTCAGGCTGGTTTCCAACTCCTGGCCTTGAGCGATCCGATCCGCCCGCCTCGGCCTCCCAGAGTGCTAGGATTACAGGCATGAGCCACTGCACCTGGCCTGTTTTCTGTTCATCGATGTCAGATTTTATCTTTATTATTACCTCTTCTCTATTCTGCTTAACTTGTATTTAATTTTCTCTTATTTTTGTAGTTTCTTAATTGGAAGCTGAATTCATTAATATGAGACATTTATTTTTTTCTAATATTCTGAGCAGCTTCTCACCAAGTCTGATTTGTTTTGTTTTCATTTTCATTCAGTGCAAAAGACTTTCTAATTTCCCTTTTAATTTCTTCTTTAGTTTATAGCTTAGAAGTGTGTTATTTAGTCTCCAAATATTTGGGGATTTCTCAAGCATCTTTCTGTTATTGATTTCTAATTTAATTTCATTGTGGCTGCTTTTAAGTTGTTTCTCTTTAATACTGATTTTGAGCAAGTATTTTGATTAGGTGTATGAAAATTTGATGTAGTTTTTTTTATGTTTCCTTTGCTTGGAGTTTGTTGAGCTTCTTGAATCTATGGATTTATATTATAGTTTCTGTTAAGTTTGGAAAATTTTCTCTCTTCTCCTTCAGGGACTTCAATTATTTTTATATTGGACTACTTGCAGTTGTCAGAAAGCTTACTAATGTTCTTTTCCATTTTTAAAATTCTTTTTTCTCTGTGTGGTAGTTACTATTGCTATGCCTTCAAGTTCACTAACCTTTTCCTCTGCAATTTCTAATTTGTTATTAATCTCATTCAGTATATCTTTTTTTTTTTTAAATCTCAGACATTGTAGTTTTTATCTCTGGAAGTTCAATTTGTATGTCTGATAATCTTTGGTTGGATGCCAGACATTGTAAATTTTACCTTTTATGAAGCTGGACACTTTCATATAACCATAAATCTTCTTGTCCTTTGCTCTGGAATACAGTTAAATTTCTTGGAAACAGTTTGATGCATTCAGGTCTTACTTTTATGACTTGTTATGTGAGTGTGGAGCAGTGTGAAATCTAGGGCTAATTTCCTCCCTATACAGTTTGGACGTCTGGCTCCTCCAAATCTCATGTTGAAATTTGATCCCCAGTGTTGAATGTAGGGCCTGGTGGGAGGTGTTTGGGTTGTGAGGGCGGATCCCTCATGAATGGCTTCCTGCCCTCCCAGTGATGATGAGTGGGTTCTTGGTTTATTACACATGAGAGCTGGTTGTTTAAAAGAGCCCTGGCACCCCCTCCTCTCTCTCTTGCTGCTTCTCTTACCAAGTGACACTTCTGCTCCCCCTACACCTTCCATCTTGGTTGGAAGCTCCCCGAAGCCCTAACCAGAAGCAGATGCTGGCGCCAGACTGCTTGTACAGCCTGCAGAACCATGAGCTGAATGAACCTCTTTTCTTTATAAATTACCCAGCCTCAGGTATTTTCTTTATAGCAACACAAATGGACTTATACACTCCCCTAATGAGGCAAGACCTTCCTTAGTACTCTACCCAGTGACCTCTGCATTCTGAACAGGCACTATTCTTGGCCCTGTGTAAGAGGAAAGCACTACTCCAACACATTCAGATGGTTCTTTCCCCAGCCTTAGGTAATTTCCTCATGTGTGTGCTGATGTACTCTGTTGAACACTCCAGGGGTTCCTCTGCAGATCTCTGGGGCTCTCTCTTTGTGTAGAACTCTCCTTTCTGGTACTCTTCTTTATAAATTGTAGTTGCCTTGGTCTCTCTGAACTCTCAGCTCTGTAACCTCAGCTAAGGAAGTGCTGGGCTCTGCCTTAGTTTCCCTTCCCTGTGCCATGGCCTGAAAACTACATCAAGTCTGTTAAGCTGGGCAATTGTACGCCTCACCTCACCTGTTCACCACTTCTCAGACAACACTATCCTTTGTTGTCTGACATCCAGTGTCTCGAAAAGCCATTGTTTCATGCATTTTGTGTTTGTTCCTTTATTTAGCTGGGTTCCAGGTGGGAAGGTGAATCTGCTTCTTGTTACTTCATCTTGGCCAGAGGCAGAAGTCAGGACCTTTACTCTGAGATGGACAGTTTGGAGCAAAAGGGTGAAATGAGTTAACACTTTACAGGACTCTTCTTGTTGCTATGTTGAGGACAGCCTAAAGAGGGTTGAGGGCAGAATTAGGAAGACAAATTAGGAGTCTTTTGCAAGAAATAGAGTAGGCCGGGCGCTGTGGCTCACGCCTGTAATCCTAGCTCTTGGGAGGCCCAGGCGGGCGGATTGCTCAAGGTCAGGAGTTCAAAACCAGCCTGAGCAAGAGCGAGACCCTGTCTCTACTATAAATAGAAAGAAATTAATTGGCCAACTGATATATATATATATAAAATTAGCCGGGCATGGTGGCGCATGCCTGTAGTCCCAGCTACTCGGGAGGCTGAGGCAGAAGGATCACTCAAGCCCAGGAGTTTGAGGTTGCTGTGAGCTAGGCTGACGCCACGGCACTCACTCTAGCCTGGACAACAAAGTGAGACTCTGTCGCAAAAAAAAAAAAAAAAAAAAAAAAGAAATAGAGTAGGCCTGGACTGGTAGTAGTGGGGTAGTGGGGGTTATTGGAAAGTGGTAGAATCTGGGTAAAATCAGAACTGACTGAGTTGTCTGAAGGATTAGTGTGGGAGTGTGGGAGGAGTAAAGGGGACTTCCAAGGTTTTGGGCTTGAGTAACTGAAAGAATGGCATTTCGTTAATTAAGATGGGGAAGACAGCAGGAGAAACTGGGGAGAGCGTGGAACAAATTCTGCTTGAGATGCCTGTTTATCCTCCAAGTGAAGATTTCAAAGTAGGCAGTTGGTCATATAGATTTAGAGTTCAGGAGAACGATCTGGACCAGAGATATGTATCTGGGAATCATAACCATAAATGGTATTTAAAGCCCTGAGACTGGATGAGATTCATCTACAGGGTGAAGGCGACAGTAAAGATATAGCATAATTCCATCGGGGTCTATGACTGACCCCTGGGGCACCTGCACTATGTAATGGTTGGGACAAAGAGAAAGACTAGGAACAGGCTGAGGAAGAGCAGCCAGAAAAATAGGCAGAAGAGCAGCCAGGTGTGGTGTCTTAACAAGCCCAGAAGTGTTTCAAAGAGGACAGAGTGATTAGTTTTGTCATGGTATCTGGTAGGAAGCATATCTTTGGTAGCAATTGACAAAAAAAAAAAAAAAAAAAATCAGTAAATTTGGAACACTAGTCTTTTTCAAAAGAAAAATGTGTATTAGAACATATATATTAACTTCAAGACAGCAGTTACCTATGGAAAGGAAAGACAAGAACGAGAATGGTGCCTTCAATTGTCTGTAATGTTTGAATTCTTTAAAATATGATGGAAATAAGTTACGAAACGTTAAATCTGAGCCATAAATGGTCTCTATTATCCTATTCTCTTTTTGACATATTTAAAATAAATATGTAATGGCAATTTAATCAGACTAAATACTACTGTAATGTTTGACTATTTGCTCGGGTGCAGCCACTACGTGATGGACAGCTCATGATTGGTTGGCGATGCCATAGACCCCACCAAAGGGTCAAGACACGTGGTTGCAGTTCATAACCACTTTAAAGCTACAAACTTCAAGGCCCGGCGCTGTGGCTCACGCCTGTAATCCTAGCTCTTGGGAGGCCCAGGCGGGCGGATTGCTCAAGGTCAGGAGTTCAAAACCAGCCTGAGCAAGAGCTAGAAAGAAATTAATTGGCCAACTGACATATATATAAAAAATTAGCCGGGCATGGTGGCGCATGCCTGTAGTCCCAGCTACCCGGGAGCCCAGGAGTTTGAGGTTGCTGTGAGCTAGGCTGACGCCACGGCACTCACTCTAGCCTGGGCAACAAAGCGAGACTCTGTCTCAAAAAAAAAAAAAAAAAAGCTACAAACTTCAGTCACGCAAAAAATACATTCAATAACAAAAAGAAACGACATCCATGTTCAGGGGCGGTGTCTAGGAGTGAGAAAAAGACACGAGCCAGCAATTCATCAAAAGCCAGCGATGGATGATGTCTGGACCTCAGGGGACCGGGACTGAGCCTCAGCACAAATGCAGTGTGCTGCTAAACTGGATTCTACAGCACCGGAAACGGCAACTCCCACTTGGGGCGCTGCGGACACACGAGTCGAGGCTGCCTTCCAGGAAGCAAACAAAAAAGAAAAAAAAAGGGAAAGAAAGAAAGAGAAAAAGGAGGGCTAGTGGCGAGCAGGGGCCTCGGCCGCCACCCACGCCCGCGCCCCGCCTCGTGCTGGTCCCCGGCGCCGGGCTCCCGGCCGCTGCTCTGCCCTCGGCCGCTCCCCGGTGGCCCAGGCCTCGGACTCCGCGGGCGGCCCGGCGCAGCCCGCTGGCCAGCGCCCTCAGGTGCGTACCCCGCCCCCGCCGCAGCCTCCGCCGCCATTAAGGGCGGGTGCTTTTCTCAGAACTTTCCCCTCCCGCGGGCCCGGGGAAGGGAAGCTGCCCGGCCGCCCCACTGCACGGCGGGAGGCGGCCCCGGACGCCCCGGCGCCCCCAAGCGGGCCCCGGAACCCCAGTCCCCACGGGCAGGGCCTGAGGAGTGGGGGTGGGGCGGGGAAGCCCTGCCGCGGGGGCAACGGTCGCACGCACGGAGCGCGTGCCCCTCTCCTTTCTGATTGGCTGGGCGGGGGCCGGGGGCTCTTTGGGGCCCGGTGCGCGTGAGGTCACGCTCCGCCTGGCGTATGTGGGGGCGCTCGCGCTGCGTGCGGACGCGCTTGATTGGTTAGAAGAGGGGGCGTGGTCGCCGCTGTTACCTGGTATCTGCGTCCCGGCTCCGCCCCCGCACGTCACGCGTTGCTAAGTGGCCCGCGGCGTGGGTTTTGTCCGCGAGCCCGCCCGGCGGTCTGTTTGTTGACTGAAGAGAAAATTCGTACGTCAGGGGAAACCGGCTCGGGCCCTGGAACGCAGTCCGTCGCGGTTCTACTTTAGAATTCAAGGAGGAAAAAGGCTGGCAGGGCTGTAGGCTGTATTCTCCTCCCCTCAAACCCAAGCTTTGCTTTTGTTGCTTCATAATGAGATCCACTGTAAAAGTCACCCTTTAAAAGTGTATAATTTAGTGGGTTTCAGTAGATTCACAGAGCTGAGCAACCATCACCACTGTCGAATTCCAGAATGTTTTCAGCACCCTGGAAGACACTCCAAACCAATTAAGCCCTCATTCCCCATTTCCCACCCCACCGCCAGCCCCTGGCACCACCTTTGTGTCTATGGATTTGCCTGTTCTGGACGATTCTTGTAGATGGACTCATCCTAAGAAGTCTTTTGTGTCAGGCTTCTTTCATTTCTTTTTATGGCTGAATAATAATCTATGATAGGAATATACACCATTTTTTGGATATTTGGGTTTCCGCCTCTTGGCTGTTATGAATAAATAATGCTGCTATGAACATTGGTGTACGCATTTTTGTGCGGACATTTGTTTTCAATTCTCATAGGTGTATACCAAGGAGTGGAATTGCTGGGCCAAGCTTTGTGTTTTAAGGAAAAAAAAATCATATTTTAGTTTCGTTCTGGTAATTTGAAGTAAACAGATGTCTAGATATGAGATTGGAAATTGGCCAGTTGGAGATTGCTCGCGGCTGCAACTGAAGGATTGAGCAGCCTTTTTCCCTTCTTGTCTTCCATTTGGAGACGAAGGCTTCATCATCATCTGTGTGACGTCAGTGGACGCAGGGCTTGGGGCCAGGTTGCAGCTGGTATCAATCTGCAGTGGCGATTTGGAATGGGTCACAGTTCTTCCTGCCTGCCTGTTTAGCCCCTGAGGTCTGCTGCCTAGACCCCTGGCTTCAGCCTGGACAGTCCCTTCCCTCATTCTCAGGCTGCAGAACTCAGAAGTACAGTAGTCCCCCCTTATCCGCGGTTTCGGTTTCCTGAGGTCAACTGTGGTATGAAAATAGTAAATGGAAAATTCCAGAAATAAACAGTTCATAAGTTTTAAATTGCACGCTGTTCTGAGTAGCGTGATGAAATCTCTCGCCGTGCTGCCCAGGCCTTGAATCGTCCCTTTGTCCGGTGGCTCCAAGCTGTAGACGCTTCCCCACCCGTAGTCACTCAGTAGCTCTCTGGGTTATCAGATCGCAGTGCTTGTGTTCCAGTCACCTTCCTTTACTCCATAATGGCCCCAAAGCACAAGAGTAGTGATGTTGGCAATTCGGATAGGCCAAAGAGAAGCCGTAAAGTGCTTCCTCTAAGTGAAAAGGTGAAAGTTCTGGACTTAATAAGGAAAGAAAAAAAATCCTATGCTGAGGTTGCTAAGATCTACAGCAAGAACGAATCTTCCATCCGTGAAATTGTGAAGAAGGAAAAAGAAATTCGTGCCAGTTTTGCTGTCTCACCTCCAACTGCAAAAGTGACAGCCACGGTGCGTGATAAGCGCTTAGTTAAGATGGAACAGGCGCTGCATCTGTGGGTGGAAGACATGAACAGAAAACGTGTTCCGATTGACAGCAACGTGTTGCGCCAGAAAGCGCTGAGCCTGTACGACGACTTCAGCAAGGGATCCCCCAAAACGAGTGACACCAAGCCATTTACTGCAAGTAAGGGATGGTTACACAGATTCAGGAGTAGATTCTCACATCATCACAAGAAGAAGAAGGGTGAGTACAGTACGATAAGATATTTTGAGAGAGACAGAGATCACATTTACATAACTTTTATTACAGTATATTGTTGTAATTGCTCTATTTTATTATTACTTATTGTTAGTCTCTTAGTGTGCCTAATTTATAAGTTAAACTTCATCATAAGTATGTATGTATAGGTTGAACAACCTTAATCCAAAAATCCAAAATTTAAAATGCTGCAAAATCCAAAACTTTTTGAGCACTGATATGATGCCACAAGTGGTCAATTCTCCATCTGAGACTTTTGCTTTCTGGTGGTTCAATGTACACAAACTTTGTTTCATGCACAAGATTACTAAAAATATTGTTTAAAATCACCTTCAGGTTACATGTATACAAATGGTAAATTCCCCACCTGACACTTTTGCTTTCTGATAGTTTAGTGTACACAAACTGTTTCATGCACAAAATTATTTAAAATATTGTATGCAATCACCTTCAGGCTATATGTAAAAGTGGATATGAAACATAAATGAATTTCATATTCATTTTTTTAAGAGACTGGTCTCTGCAGTGGTATGATCATAGCTTATATATGGCAGCCTCAAACTCCTGTGCTGCTCAAGTGAT